ATCACATATGTCAAGAATTATATCGCTTATTGGTTGCAATCATAATTGTTCTCGACAAAGGGATAGACAAATACATTCTAAGCAAGAAAAATTGCAAGAGATAGACAAATAGTAGCGATTTAGCAAATATCTTTAAAGCTTTTTCCCCCATTAAATCCAATAGAAAGGAAAAAAAAAATCAAAATTTTCCAAATTAAAAACAACCTTAGGCCCCTTTATGCATTCATATCATACATGAAAAAATATTGACTAAGTATGAAAAATGGTTTTTCGGAATAATCATTTTCTCAAGATAATTTTTGGCGGCTTTTATTCCTTACACATGAAATAAGAAAACTTGATTTTATGGGATTTTAGTATGAAGTATATATTGACTTAATGAGCCATCATTTTTAGCCTAAATCGTATTTTACACTAAAACCGATTTTTCATATTTTGACTTGGTGAGAATTTGATTTTCTAGTATTTTTATTTGAATTCAAATAAGGGGTACTTCCTTATTTACATTGTAAACTTAAGTAAATGGAGTAATATAAAAATAAATTAAAGTCAAAGGACAAAGACATTTACTTAAATGTTGAAAATGGAAATAAGGTAATCTGTACACCTGGAGTGCATCACCACTAGCTGAGCAATGACGCAATTTGAACTACCTCCTTGTGCCTTAATAAGTCCACCACAATACATGTGGGTACATATCAAAACATAAAGTATTTGAAATAATATACATATACAAATACATAACAGTATATTACTTTTAAAATATAAAAAAACTTGAGTGGGGGCCCGGGACCACATTGGTCCCAGTGTGGCTCCGCCCCTGGTCTCACATGAACTTCATTGATAAGGCTATGAACTTTGTTAATTTAGCCAAAGTTTGATGGACTTATGCCCAGTGTGCTGTCATATAATGCAATTTTAGATGCAATAAAGACAATGATCTTCCCTCCCACTCCCTTAGGATAGGAGCGGCGGCGCCTAGGTAGATTGTAATATATATATAAAGCAAAAGGCAGAGAATGATAAAATATTTAAAATACCAAAAAATTCCCTTAATTAATGCAAATATTAAAAATTAATATTATTAATTAAATAAGAATAATACAGTAAATTCAATCCAAACTGGCCAAGAAAACCCCAAAAAGCAAAAGCAAATGTTAGAATCAGAAAATCCCAAAAAGCAAAAGCAAATGTTAGAATGAGAGAGAGAGAGAGAGAGAGAGAGAGAGAGAGAGAGAGAGAAATGTTAGAATCAGAAAACCCAAAAAGGCAAAAGCAAATGTTAGAATGAGAGAGAGAGAAATGTTAGAATCAAATATTAAAATGAGAGAGAGAGAAATGTTAGAATCAAATATGAAAATGAGAGAGAGAGAAATGTTAGAATCAAATATTAAAATGAGAGAGAGAGAAATGTTAGAATCAAATATTAAAATGAGAGAGAGAGAAATGTTAGAATCAAATATTAAAATGAGAGAGAGAGAAATGTTAGAATCAAATATTAAAATGAGAGAGAGAGAAATGTTAAAATCAAATATTAAAATGAGAGAGAGAGAAATGTTAGAATCAAATATTAAAATGAGAGAGAGAGAGAGAAATGTTAGAATCAAATATTAAAATGAGAGAGAGAGAAATGTTAAAATCAAATATTAAAATGAGAGAGAGAGAAATGTTAGAATCAAATATTAAAATGAGAGAGAGAGAAAAATGTTAGAATCAAATATTAAAATGAGAGAGAGAGAAATGTTAGAATCAAATGTTAGAATGAGAGAGAGAGAAATGTTAGAATCAAATGTTAGAGAGAGAGAGAGAGAGAGAGAGAGAGAGAGAGAGAGAGAGAGATGTTAGAATTAGAAAACCCAAAAAGGCAAAAGCAAATGTTAGAGAGAGAGAGAGAGAGCAAATGTTAGAATGAGAGAGAGAGAGAGAAATGTTAGAATCAGAAAACCCAAAAGGCAAAAGCAAATGTTAGAGAGAGAGAGAGAGAGCAAATGTTAGAGAGAGAGAGAGAGAGCAAATGTTAGAATCAGAAAACCCAAAAGGCAAAAGCAAATGTTAGAATGAGAGAGAGAAATGTTAGAATAAAAAAACTCAAAAAGGCAAAAGCAAATGTTAGAGAGAGAGAGAGAGAGCAAATGTTAGAATGAGAGAGAGAGAGAGAAATGTTAGAATCAGAAAACCCAAAAGGCAAAAGCAAATGTTAGAATGAGAGAGAGAAATGTTAGAATAAAAAACTCAAAAAGGCAAAAGCAAATGTTACATATTTTAAGACGGCTACTCCAAAATCATTTCCTAACAGTGGTCACCCTGATATCAGATTTCTCTTTATATAATAGTATCCGAGTGAGTTAAGTGAACATTTTATAGTTCGGTACTGAATTCATTTGTAAATAGGGAGTGAGGATATCGATGGAGCTTGCACACGGTGTGAAGAAAGTCATCACGGCCACCGATGTTGGGAGACTTGTAGTGACCAGAAAAATTCTTGCTGTGCTGCCTCCTGTCAATCCAGGTAATGATATCTCAATCAACGTTTTCGATAACCAAACACATCGGGATTACGAGTTCAAGTTAGCTGTTAGGCCCGGCAGATACCTGAAGCCAGTTCTCCAGTCTGAAGGATGGAGAGCCTTTGTCAACGACAGAGGCATTGCTGTTGGGGACGTCGTCTGGTTCTGGGAGGAGGAAAACCCAACTTATCAAACACAATACCGAATTGCAGTGTTCAAACCAGATCTTTTTCCCGGCCACCCAGATCTTCATGGTGTCTAGAAATTAATGAGTTAGCGGCAGCATGTTTGTTTTGTGTTATAATAATCCTGTTATAATGTCCTAGCATTGTGGCTTATATATGTTGAATAAAAAAACATAAACTTTGCTGTTGTTATGAAGATGGCTGGATGATTTTCTGTACTTGTCATGATGTGATTCATTAACCCAGATGCAGGTACTAGACATGAACTGTGGATACTAACTATGAAATCTTGTATGTTGGGCTCAACTATGCAGCCAAGTAATGAGAAATGGTAACAAAGTTTACAATTAATTTCTTCAAGGTATTTAAGCAGGGCCGCCTGCGCTGCTCTAGAAGGAGAGAGAGAACAGAGGGAGAAGATGGAAGAGAAGGAGACAGAAGGGGAGGGCTGGCTATACAAAAATTGACATGTGGCTATATTTGAATGGTAGATGTATTAGGGTTTAGGGTTACTACAGTAGTATTGTATAATGGGAGAAGAAAAGGAAATAAAAAAGAAAGAGGAGAGAGAGAAGATTGAACTGGGGGGAGAGGAAGAAAAAAGAAAAAAAGAAGAAGAATAGATATTCAATCCGAAGCTTTCAAATCATCCCACGCTCAAAAATAGAAATCCAACAGTACGGAAGGAGAAGCAAAGTTTATGGATTTGTAAGCTAAGCTCATTTCCAGAATAATTTAATATTTTTAATTGATGCAAGTTTGTTTTCCAAAAGTACTGATGGAAAATGAATATTTTGAACTTAATTCTCTGCCAGCTCACTGACAACGGCTGGAGGAATTTCCAGATTACATTAATTCTTATCCATATTTTTTGTAACAAACTTATTCTAGAGAAATCTTATCCAGATTACATTAATTGCTCCACATGCTTCCATCCGCGGCAAAGCTAGTGTCCATCTAGCACTATGACTAACTCACGCCTGAATTTACGGTAAGGGAATCTGACATTAGCCACCTCCCTCAATTCATCTCTTTCCTTTAAGCCCTGTGAACAAGCTCCTAAATGAAAACTTGGGGTTGCTTGGTGAGGAAGCCTGATCAAAAGCACGTGACAAAATCTCAGAGGCTGGTGATCAGTAAAAAGGTCCACTTTGTTGAAGCAGCCTACAGAATAAATAACACATCAATTAAAACTTGTTGATGCTCTTTTTCGGAGAGGGTCAACTTAGAGAAAAGGGGTTTGTCTTCATCAATGGAGAAGGTGAGCACCTTCTGTAAGAAATAAATTTACACAACTGAATCAGGTGATGGTGTGCATTTGTAAGTAATAAATAGGGCAATTGAACGAAGTATTAATTGTCCGAATACATCATCTACAAGTCATTGTATTGATATCAGTAATAACTAATAATATTACAAGATCAAGGTGGTCCATAAAAACATCTTTTGGCATCACAATACACCATCGGCTGCACCCTCTTTCTTTATTTTCTTTTAGTTTTTTAGTTTTTTTAGTTTTTTTTATATTATAAATCTTTTAGTTTGTAGAGTCCCTTATTGTCAAAAGTATTAAAGCTTATTGTATTTTAGCCCCTTATTGTCAGAAGTTCACATTTCTCTCTCCGGGTGGCTTTCGTTTTCAACTACTGGACTGGACCCTCCTCTGTGTAGCAGACCAATCTCTTCATCTCAAAAAAACAAAAAAAAACAAAAAATAAAAAATAAAAAATAAAAAATAAAAAATAAAAAAAGCACATGACATGAGACAAGCCCAGACAAGCCTAGTCTAATCTTGACTATATCAGGAGCCATGCAATTTCCTTTTAACGTATGGTTGTCTTTTTCTTGTAAAATTTATCTTGGATGGCCCCATTACTCATTTGTGAATAATAATTTCTGCATGGGAATGTTTACAACCTGTTGACAAAGTCAGTGACTTTGTGAAGATGATGAGAACACCTAAATATCTATCTAGAACATCTACTTTAATTTTCAAATATTCAAAAAGTGATTAAATTTACTTTGATGTCCATATTAATTCACTAGTAAATAGTCTATGTTGTAAAATATGTCTGATATTAGGCTCATTTTAAACATCTCCTTCAGATCTTATTAATGCTATATTTCTCATGATAATAATATTTCTACATTTCAACTTATATCAAAATAATTAGTACTAGATAAAATTCTCTTTTTCTACATTTCAAGGTCCCGTGAGTAGGTTACATGCACGTGTGTAGAAGAAGCTTACAATCAAAACTCTCTTTTTCTATATATAAAAGGGGATTGTAGAGCAGATTATTAATCCATGGAGATGGAGCATGACCGTTTTAAGAAAAAGTTGACGGCCAGCGATCACTGGCGGATCCAGAAATTTTTAGCAGAGGTGCAATATTGACTAAGTATGAAAAATGGTTTTTCGGAATAATCATTTTCTCGAGATAATTTTTGGCGGCTTTTATTCCTTACACATCAAATAAGAAAACTTGATTTTATGGGATTTTAGTATGAAGTATATATTGACTTAATGAGCCATCATTTTTAGCCTAAATCATATTTTGCACTAAAACCGAATTTTCATATTTTGATTTGGTGGGAATTTGATTTTCTAGTATTTTTTATTTGAATCCAAATGGGAGGTACTTCCTTATTTACATTGTAAACTTAAGTAAATGGAGTAATATAAAAATAAATAAAAGTAAAAGGACAAAGACATTTACTTAAATGTTGAAGATGAAAATAAGGTAATATGTACAACAGTTGAGCAAATGGGCAATTTGAAGCACTTACAATGGTTTTTCAGGCTAGGGGAGGTGCAGCTGCACCTCCTTGCGCCTTACTAGATCCGCCTCTGCCAGCGATGTTAAAAGACTTGTGGTGACCACCGCCATGCTTGAAATGCTGCCGCCGGTGGATCCAGATCGTGATATCCCCATCAGAGTTGTCGACAAACAGACGCACAACGTTTACGAGTTCAAATTATCCTGCAGACAAGGGGGTAGAAAGCCAGTTTTCCAGTCTAGTGGATGGACAGTGTTTGTCATTGACAGAGGCATTGAAGCTGGGGATGAGCTCTATTTCTGGGCGGAGGAATGCCTATTACATGGAACTCAATATCGCATTGCACTGTACAAGCCAAATCTTTTCCCTCATCCTTAATAATTCCAATCAGGTGTTGTCACCCATAATAGGTATTTATCTTGTATGGTCCTCTTGGTATGGAAGGAGAAGCAAAGTTTAGGATTTGTAAGTGTACTGATGAAAAATGAATTGGGGTCGGTGAGAGAGAGAAGTGGCGATGACTGGCGAGTGATGGGATAGGGGTTAGGGTTTCATATTATTGTCTTCAATCTTTTGTTTTTATATATTCCCATGCAACTGCTGATTATATATTTTTAATTGATTAACTTTTTTTTTTCACGTGGCGAGCATTTTCAAGAGAAGAGGCAAATGACTAAAGGTCATCATTACCAAACCGAAAGGACAAACCTCTGGTCTGACAAAATCTTTCTATTTCCTGCATTTGGCATCTAGTCCATGTAAGTTTTTTCCCTGGTGGTGGCCAATATTCTTGGCACCTATATAACCTGCCACCTAGCAGAGTAGAGCAGGGCATATAGCGATCAAAGTTGCAAGCTATTTGGTTAGATCTTGATATAAGTTTCAGTTTCACTTTGATGCACTCAAGTCCAAGAAGAGAGAGAGAGAGAGAGAGGAGAGAGAGAGGAGAGAGAGAGAGAGAGAAAGAGAGAGAAGGTCGTTCTGGATACATGTGGGGCCCGTAATTTCTTCCGAACATGACCAATGTCCCCCCAACGGCTGAAAGATTGGTCTGGATTAGCAAACTGATCCATCAAATTCAACCAAATTGCAATCAGACAACATAATAAACCTGGGACTTCCAATCCACATATTTTTGCACCAACTCCCATTAATTCCAGAGCATAACTAATAAGAATAAAGAAAGCAAGTCCCCTGAGATTATGCTTCAATTCCAGACCAAAAACCCAGTTTTCATTTGTAGGCGATGAATGAACTTTCAATCCCCAAAACCATCCAAAACTATCAATTCAACTCTGTTAGTCAAAGAGCACAAAATGAAAAAATTAAAAAAGAAAGTGTTAAGGAAGATGATGCAGCTTGCTCAGCTCAGCACCAAACAATTTTAATTAGATCAAAATTAAATAAAACTTAGTATGAAGATTAGAACGCCAAATGCGTATACTTGTACATTTAATATCAGTGCATAAAACTTTCGTTTAATATCAGTAATAACTAATAATACTACAAGATCAAGTTGGTGCATAAAAACATCTTTTGGCATCACAAAACAGATGTAATACCGTCGGCTGCCCTCTCTTTCCTTCTTTTATTTTTATTTTTTTATCTTTGATCTGATTTAAAAGAAAAAGAGTATATATATCTTCTTAATTCTTGGATGCATTATTTTATTTATTGGCTGCTGATGTAAACATTGGTTTCCATCTTTTGGAAAAAAGAAAAAGAAAAAGAAAAAAGCACAACCTGAATGAGAATGAAAAGGAGAAGAGAAAGCTGTGAATCATTAAATTGAGATTTTGTCTGGACCACTTGGCATTAGGGCGTAATTTGATGGATTGATTCTATTTAAGTCTTTTTAAAAAATTCCAAAAGCACCATTTCTTTGAACATTGATTCCTTTCCTAATAATTCCTGTCAGTCTTGTCACTGTAATGAGATAACTTTGTCCTGAAAAAAAGATAGTATGATTTTGGTTGGTTAATTAACCTATATTCTATTGATTATTCACTTTAAGTTATTTTATTTTATTTTTATAACCATGCCTTTCTATCTTCGATCTTCCTTAGCTCCTCTCTCTTTTCCTCTCCATACTGCTATTTGTACACATATGACGCCATTATTAGCCACCTCTCTAATACATGCAGGTTCACATACAGTACTGGAGTCCAGTAAATCAAGCTTACCTTTACACTCTTAAATTTATTTTTTGTTATCTAAATTTTTAAAAGACTAAAACATACTCATTCACATACGCACGCACACTCTATCTAAATTTTTAAAAGACAAAATTTATTTTTTATTATAAGAATTAATTTTGTAATACGTACGCATTCAAACAAAAATTTACAAAAATATCTTACATTATAAGATAATCATACAAAGGAAAATACTTTTTGTGAATGAAATTTCAAACCAATGTTTTGGTTCCTAACTCTTTCTTTAATTTTTGGGTTTCTACTCGGACCAACACATAAGCAATAAAGCAATATTAAAGAAAAGACTTCCAATCATTATAACATGGTCAAGTGAGTGAGCATGCGTGTGTGTAGAAGAAGCTTTCAATCATTACAACTTAGTTTTCTTGTAGGCCAACAAGCTTATCAACGAATAAATGCAACAGAAGAATCAACTTAACTTAGATTCAAGTCCTCTAAGTCATCCTTTGGACCAGTCAATGAATAAATGCAATTCCTTCCGCATATTCCCTTTTAATTCTGTGCAGTCTACCAATTCTGGTATCAGAACTTGTTCCATTCATGGGCAAAAAAGAAAACCCCACCACCGACCTCGCTGCCTCAAGCCAAGAGGTGGACCCTACCCATGATTATTTGGGTGGACAAATTCAACACTAATCCAGTTGTGATAATTAATGGTAGTGGTGATATTGCCCGCAATGGTTAATTGATCATAGTTTGTGATATTATACGCCATTGTGTCTAACGCAAAGCAAAGCAACTCTCTCTTTTCTTCTCATTTTTCAATCCTAGGGCAAAAATTCATCTATTTCCATTATTTGCTTTGAAATTGAATTTACATCCAAACCCTAAACTCCCTTTAACATTATAGTTGTCGAATCCAACAACAAGAGACAGACCGAAACCAAAGAAAACCAATCCGGAGGAAGCTTGATATTTATTGAAGATCCCTCGTTTTGATAGCTGAACCAATTTGGAATTTCATGTCCTGGGCATACAACGGTAACTGAAGGCTTTCTAGTATAAACAAAAGATGGACGTCGTGATTATTAAACAAATTAACAAACAAAAGTTAACAGATACTCCAAGCTTAATTACAGAGCACAGGAAACTAGTTATCAATTGAATAACAGAACTGAGAGAGAGAGAGAGAGAGAGAGAGAGACGTACATTTGATGCGACTTCAATTTCTCCTACATCTGATGCTACTTCAATTTCTTCGGAAAATTCTACATCTGATGCGTCTTCAAATTCTGCTTCAAGTTCTACATCTGCTGCTACTTCAATTTCTTTGGAAAGTTCTGCATATGAAGCTACTTCAAATTTGTCAAACTTTGATGAGGCAAATGCCAAATGCATAATTCTAAGTTGTGCATCCGCCATTATGTGGTTCCATGTAATCTGATCCAATTTTAGGCAATTAGAGAAAATAAGTTCCTGGTTAAACCCTGGAAACAAATTATATCCATCCAACCCATGTGTGAGTGCAGTCCTTGGGCTTGACACTATGTTAAGCAATGTGCAGCCATGTGCTTTAAGAGAATATAGCTTTAATGGGAGCTCTGGTAAAGATTGAAGGCTCTTGCAATTGATCAGGGACAGGCAAAATAGCCAAGAAACTTGTTTGATGTTTGCAGGTATGCTCTCAATCATGGTTCCACTTAGCTTTAAATCTCGTAATGAGGTTAAGCAAAGGAGGGATCTGTAATGTACTGCAGTAACTGAGGTTTAATACTTCCAAAGAGTGCAAACCGACTGAGAAGGGAGGCAATTTCATCAAACCTCAGAGTAATTAGACGGTTTAAATTGTAGATGCTCTTTGGGACAAACTAAAGGTTCTTGCAATGACGAAGATCTAACTTTTTATGCCAAGTTAGATTTCCAATTGATGAGGGTAGCTCTTTAACAGCTGTTCCTTTTAATGAAAGAAAATTCGTACATAGGCTCCAAAATTTCTGAGTAGTCTTCAAATTCAGAGCAACCAGTAAGATCAAGTTCTTGATGAGATTTCAACTTACAAATGCTCGTTGGGAGACTCGCAAGCCTTTTGCAATTTTTCAGTTCAATTCTAATGCGACCGAAGAGACATTCAATTGATGAGGGTAGCTCTTTAACAGGTGTTCCCTTTAATGAAAAAATCTTCATATCTTTCATAGGCTCCAAGATTTCTGGGAAGTCTTCAAATTCATAACACCCACTGAGATTAAGTGTAAGAGATTTCAACTTACAAATGCTTGTTGGGAGACTCGTAAACCTTTTGCAATTTGTCAGTTCAATTTTAATGAGACTGAAGAGACATTCAATTGCTGAGAGTAGCTCTTTAACCGCTGTTACTTTTAATGAAAGAAACTTCATGTCTTTCATAGGCTCCAAAATTTCTGGGAAGTCTTCAAATTCAGAGCAACCAGTGAGATCAAGTTCGGGAAGAGATTTCAATTTACAAATGGTGGGAGGGAGATGCACTAACCTTTTGCAATTTGTCAGTTCAATTTACAAATGGTGGGAGGGAGAAATGACAAGACTTAATAACTTAGACAGAAGAAATAATCACACTAAATTTTATATAATAAGCGAAATAAGCATATACCTGGTCTTTATTCCAAAGTTGCTCAACTTTGCTGCCGTGCATTCGAAGCTCAACAAGATTTTCTGGAAAAAAATTTGATGGCATAGATGTCAAAGGATATTCTTGCCAGGAAAGATAAACAAAGAGAATTGGGAAGAGAAACTTTTAATTGGCAATAGTTGCCAAAGCTAGAATCGCCGAGATTGAGTGAACATAGATTAGACATCTTTTTGAAGTCTGCACAATCCAAGTGTGGTTCTCCAATCTTAGATCTGTTAAAGAATATGGCTCGAACGGTTTCAGTTCCCTGACCATAAGAGCAAAGTATAAATGATAATGCAATATACAGCAAAGTTTAATCAAAACTACATTTGTATGTATCTAACATGAGTTTGTTCTTAGGTGTCTTATCCAATGTTTTCAAAGGCGAGGCGTATAGGCGAGACGTTTTTAGTAGCGCTATGCGAGGCGTAAGCCTTTTGAACATTAATTTATTTTAATAAGAAAAATTTATGAATAATACAATACGATTAAATTGTACAACTAATTCTTATTCAACCATAACAATCTTTTAAATATAAGCAAATATAAGTACTAATTGTCATTCAAAGCATAATAATCAATCCCAAAACATAAAATATTTATTCAACATCAAAACAAAAACATAATTCACTCATCCCACTCCTCAACACTAATATCATTCAAACTAGCATCACTATCATATTGATCAACTGTATCAATATGAAAAGAATATTTCCCACTATCAAATGTTGAAGGATCTTTATCTATGTCATCATCTTCATCCATAAGCATCGCTCTTAAGGACTTGCTTTTTCCTCCACTATTTCTTTTGCATACTTCCACGCAGGATCTTTTCGATTCATAGCTATAAAACAATACCATTAATATTTCTAAGATACAAGTATGATGCATGTACGTCGAATTTCTATTATATCACATAAACGAATAAGATAACTAGTATATTTATATATAAAAAATTGAAAAAAAAATTATATGAAACTTCAAATTACAGTTTATTACAGTCAAATTATACAAGTACGATGCATGTACGGAAAAAAAAAAGACTTACTTGCAGTCGAAAGATGAAGAGAATTCTTGAAATTGATGGAGTAAGGGTAGAAATTAGGGTTCTACATGTACTATACAATATATATATAGTCCATGTGTTAATATATTAATTTAGAGAAAGAAGAAAAAAAAAAAAAAAAAAAAAAAAAAAAAAAAAAAAAAAGGTAAGTAGCTACAAGCGGGTTGGAGTTAGAAAGAAAAAAAAAATTATTAATTCTTCCAATAAGTTTATTACAATAAAGGTAAGTTAAAAAAACTGAAACAGTGTTTTTTTTTCAACATCAAGTGAAACGACGTCGTTTCACTTTAAGATCTTTTTTAAAACACTTCAATCAAAACGACATCGTTTCATTACAATAAACCTATAAATAAAAAAAGGGGGTCGTCCTCCTCGCGACGCCGTCTTCCTTGCAGAGGATTTGCAGACCTGAAAATTTCTTCATGTTCAGAAGTTTCTAGATATGGTGCGCCTTGCAACGCCTCCCTCCGCCTGGCCACGCCTTGCAACGCCTTCTCACGCCTTACCAGTGCTAAACGTGCAACTCGCGAAACAGCCGACCGCCTCGGGCGTTTTCCTCCCGCCTCGCTCCGACGCGCGCGAAGGCATGCCTTTGAAAACACTGGTCTTATCATAGAAAATTCACAAAATTGTTAATTTTCTTTTCAAAGAAAGTGAATGCATTTGGCTCTTACTGTATTATTTCTCAATACGTGTAACGTGACAGATATCCTCATCAATGAACAACCTACTACGTTTTCTAGGCTCTTAAATACATTGTTCGTAAACTATTGCCCTACCCATTTCCTGAACCAAATCATGCATCTCTAGGCTGTTCCATCTTGAAATTGATACGAGAGACTTATCAATGAGAACTTTAATTCCACCCGCAAATAAACCACTTATATCTATCATTTCCTTAGCAAAATCTATTGTCATCCCTTTATAGAAACATGCTATATCAAGAAATATCTCCTTTGCATTTTTGTCTAATCCATCATAACTTAGTCTCAACATATTCTCAATATCTTGGTTGGGAAATTTTTTCAACTTATTCCATTCATCTTTCCAGTCTTCATTGTTGTCGCAGTGAAGGAATATGGAACCCAAAATCTTAAGAGCTAATGGCATGCCTCCGGCATAATCGACCACATTCATTTTTTTTTTTAAGAAAGGGGGCAAAGCCCCAAGGAACAGACTACACAACCTGGTCTAAACAGACCAATCTAGAATGAACAATTCCAAGCAGATCATCAACAAGATAATCACTTAACCAACTAGGAGCCTGCTCAAACACGCATAGCCCAAGATCCACTTGATAACTCCAATTCGCTAACCGGTCAGCAACAATATTCTTCTCACGAAAAACATGCTGAAGAGCACACCTGGGAACCTGTTGCATAAGGTCACAGCAGTTCCTAACCAAAGTAGCTAAAGGGTGCAAAGAAAGCATGGAAGAAATCTGACAGAGATTGACTGCAATAGCTGAGTCCATCTCAATAATGAGACTACTGATGCCTTTCTCAATTGCTAACTTCAAACCAAAGAAGAGACCCCATATCTCAGCCTCAAGAACTTGACCTTTTCCCAGATTAATAGCAAAACCACTTACCCAGCCACCAAAAGAGTCACGAATGACTCCCCCAGCACCAATGCAGCCAGTAACGCTTCTCCTTGAACCATCCACATTCAGCTTGAACTGTCCAGGACCAGGAAGCTCCCAGGCAACATGAATTTGAACTTTATTTACCCTGACAGTGAGATTAGACGTTGACTTGATCCACTCCTGAGCAGCCCCACAAATAACTTGCCTTGGACTAAAAATGATTGTATCCTCATTCTGAAAAACATGCTTATTTCTCCAACACCATAGATGCCAACAAGTAAACACAAAAACAGTACTCCAAGGAACATCACCATTCCATTTCTCTCTAGAGAGCATATTGACCTTCATCCAAGGCTGAGCATCTAAATGGAAAAAATGACGAGCACAGGCAGGGAGAATAGCATTCCACGTAGATCGAGCACGCTCACAATCACGGAGAATGTGAAGGACAGTTTCAGTAGGCCAAGAACAAAAGCCACATGAAGGGTCAGACGCCAACTGCCTTCGAACACGCTGATCATTTGATAAGATTTTGCCTTGAGAAGCCAGCCACATAAAATATTGCAACTTAGGAGGAACATTTAAACTCCACAAGGACTTCCAGCAGGAGTCAGGGGTAGAACAACCTCCAAGAATAAACTATAAGCAGATTTAACGGAAAAGTCCCCATTAGTACTACCCTTCCATATCTGAGTATCAGGTAAAGAGCCTAAAAACCCCACAGGAACACTAATGACCTGTTGAACAAGATCTTCACAAAGAACACCTCTCAACTTGTCAATGTCCCACCAGCCATTCTTAGAGAAACTTGAAACAGGGCAATTGCTATCGGGGATGGTGAGAACTCCAGCCAGCTGCATTAAAGGGGCATCAGTAACCCAATTATCCTCCCAAAATTTTACACTGTCTCCCCGACCTATTCTCCAACACATCCCTTGCATAAGTAATTGGATACCATGTATAACACTCCTCCAAGTAGTGGAACAAACCTGCCTTGCTCCAAGAGAAATATCAAAAATAGAAGCCCCTTTAAGATACTTAGCCTCATAAATTTTTGCCCATAAACCACTGTCCTTAGAATGCAATCTCCACCCAATCTTAGCAAGTAGAGCCTGATTCATACTAGCAGTCTTTTTAAACCCCAAACCTCCTTTACCTTTAGGCCTACAAGCCAAATCCCATTGACAAAGATGGATCTTATATTTCTTCTCACTGCTACCCCAGAAAAAATTACGGTTGAGCCGATCTAAATCATTGCAGACACTAACAGGTAGTTTGGTAGTTTGCATAGCATAAATAGGGATAGAAGCTGTAACTGCTTGAATTAAAGTGGCTCTTCCAGCTAAAGAAAGAAGCTTACTCTTCCAAGCTGCCAAGCGTTTATGCACCTTATCAACTAAAGAACTATAAGTGCGTTTTCCGATTCTAGAATGCAAAAGAGGCATTCCTAGATACTTACCAAGGTCATTAGTAAGAGGAGAGCCACAAATCAAACTTATCTCCTTAGCAACCTCTTTACAAGTGTTAGGAGAGCAGAAAACAGCAGACTTTTCAAAATTGACTACTTGTCCAGAAGCAGAGCAAAACAGATCCAGACAACTCTTCATAATTTTAGCTTGGCTAGCACTAGCCTCTGCAAACAACACCAGATCATCAGCAAAAAAGAGGTGGGAGATCGCAGGGCCAGACTGAGAAGATTTCACAGGCCGCCACTTCTTCTTATCAACAACATCACAAATAATATGAGAGAGTTTTTCAATACATAGAACAAAAAGATAGGGAGATAAGGGATCTCCCTGTCTAATACCATTCATTGGACTAAAAGAAGCAGTCAATTCCCCATTCACATTAATCTGATATCTCACAGATTGAACACAGTGCATTATCAACTTAACAAACGGAGCAGGCAGCCTTAATTCAAGAAGCACATACTCAACAAAATGCCAACTCAACCTGTCATAAGCCTTAGAGAGGTCTATTTTCCAAGCGACAAACCCTTTTTTCCCTTTAGACAACTTAAATTTATGCATTAACTCCTGCGCAATAAGGATATTATCTGTAATATGTCGTCCAGGGATAAAACTAACTTGGTTGGGACTTATAAGATCAGGAAGAATAGGCCTTAACCGAGCCACAATGATTTTAGAGATGACCTTGTACAGAGTAGAGCATAAGCTAATAGGCCTAAACTGAACCATAGACTGGGGGGCTTTGCACTTTAGGCACCAAAGTTATTAAAGTGTAATTCAGCCTGTCAGGGATGCTGCAATTCTGAAAAGCTTGAGTCACCAAAGCGAAAATATCATCAGCACATTTATTCCATTGAGCTTGATAGAAACAAGCTGGGAACCCATCTACACCAGGAGCTTTCAAACCTCCAATCCCAAACAAACTTCGCTTAATCTCAGCCATGTCAATATTCTTCTCAAGCAACTCCAAATCAGCCGAATCAATAACAGGGAACAACTTAGGTAAAGTCAGATCTCTGTGCTCCACAAATTCTTGAGAAAACAACTGCTCAAAATATGCCATAGCCAAACCTTTAATGTCTTGAGCTTCCTCAACCCAAACCCCCTCATTATTCTTTAATCTCTCTATTTTATTCCTCCGCCGCCTAATAATAGTAGTAAGATGAAAGAATTTGGTGTTTCGATCACCTTCTTGAAGCCACTGTAATCTGGATTTTTGTTTCCATAACATAGCCTCTTGCTCCAGCACACAATTATACTCCTCAATCAAAGAAATTTCCAATTTACTCAAAAAAGTATTTGAGCCCCTGCACAAAGCTTTTTGAATACCATTAAGACGAGCCAACAAACAGGCCTTCCGCTTCTTAACATGTCCAAAAACATTAACATTCCAATCTTTTAGCGGCTGAACCAACTGATAAGTTTTATCCAAGGCTGATCTAGCAGCTTGTCCCCAAACATCAGAAATAAACTCATTGAATTGCTCATGCTGCATCCACATTGCTTCAAACCTAAAAGGCCTTAAGTGCGGAGAAGCAACAAAATGAGAGCTCAACTTAATCTTAATTGGATTGTGATCAGAGGTAGTCCTAGGCAAATGCTAAACATTAGCCTCAGGAAATAACCTTCTCCATTGCATATTACAAATAGCTCGATCTAGCCTTGCATAGACTCTCTTATTATTCCATGTAAATTTAGGTCCAGAATAACCCAAATCAATCATCTCATTATCATCAACCCAGTTTCTAAAACCTTTAGATTTGCACTCTAAAACTCCACCAAACTTCTCATCAGCAGCAAGTAACTCATTAAAATCCCCGGCAATCAACCAAGGCATATTATGACTTGCAGCAACAAATGAGAGATAGTCCCACATTTTCCCTCGCTTGCCAGCATTAGGACTAGCATAAACACCAGTAAAAAGCCAAGGGTCTTGGCCATTGCGAGCCACACAAGCAGAAATCGTTTGATCAGAGGTGCCAACAACTTCTACATGAACTCTAGAATCATCCCATAACAGCCACAAACCCCCGGAAAACCCCACAGCGTCAACAATTTCAAAGCAAGGAAAACCGAGAGTTTTAACTACAGAAATAGCCTTTTCTCCACTTATCCGAGGCTCACAAAGAAAAAGCATATCCAAACGATGAGTGCGAATCAAATCAAGCACATTAGACTTAAATTTGGAGCTCGCAGCTCCTCTAACATTCCAACAACAAATATCCATAAAAAAAACCCATTAAAGAGTAGAGTAACCGAGAGGGCTAAAACCCTTTTATTAAGATTCAAAAGTCATACCCCCAACAGAAGTGGAAGTATTACTTGCCAAATGTCCACCATGTGAACTAACACGTCCTTCCGAAAAGTCCATTTTTTCTATGGGATCCAAACCCTCACTGTCTGAAGGGATTAGCACTTCATCATCACTGTCAGAACCAGAATTTTCATCCCTACTAGTAGCCACCTCCCCTATATTGGGTGGCTGATGCCCAAAGATATACAACCCCTTTTCCTTTTGAACTGATTGTCCGCCACCCCAGCTCGCAAATTGCTCATGTAGAGGACTAGCAGCAACACTTTCCTTGCCTTGAAATCCCACCATTCCTATAGAATCAGATATACCAACGGCACTTCTACTTGCCACGCTAGCAACTTGGCGACTTCCAGATGTATTTCTAGTTGCCACACCAGTATTCTGATAATTTTCCTTCACACGATTCTTCACAGGCAAGCTCTTGTTTGAAATATCCTCCAAAGCCTGCCTAGCAACAGACTTTTTACCCTTAGATTTTGTCCAAACCTTATTTCCCATATTCAAATCAGTCACCACAGCTTGCACTGGTCTGCTACCAGTCTGATCAAGCAACTCACCAGAGTTCCCCTCATCCTTTCCAAAATTCTCATCCACTTGCCTAAGAGCATCAAACCTTGAGCCCTTAATTTTTACCCCAGAATCCTTGCCTCCCACTCCTTTAAAATTAGATTGAGGCCTACGCCTAGGGGGAACATTCATCCATGGCCCTCTCAAGCTCTGGTCAGACTCATAGTGAGCCCTATTACTTCCCACCAAAACACTCCCCTCAACATTAGCACCCATGGCACTAGTAGTCTCACCATTAACGGTTTCAGCATCTTTAGTATTCAAGTCACACTTCTCTCGTTTATGGCCATACCTCCCACATAGGTAGCATATATCTGGCAGCCCCTCATACTCTATATTATACCAATTCTGGTTGATTTGGACGAAAGCATCTAAAGGCTTAGTGAGATCTAATTCCACACACAGCCGAGCAAACTTGCCCCTATTTTGAGCAGTGGTAAGAGAATCAATCTTTAACAATTTCCCCAACAAATTCCCAACTCGTTTCAACGACCAAACATCAAAACACTCAAGCTGAATAGCAGAGACACGAAGCCAAACAGCCATTCGAGTTATGTGTGCAGTAGCTGGACAAAAGCCAGGCCTCCATTTTTGCATGACTAAATATTGACCAGCTATTATCCAAGGACCACCAGTGAGAACAAAATTTAAATCCTCCTCAAGCTCAAATTTAACCACAAAGTAATCATTCACCAAATCTATCAATTTCCACTCCCCTTTCAGACTCCATTTCTGGTGTAAACGATCACGTAAGTAATTGTAAGTATGAGACCTGCCCAAGAGCTTAATAATCAGAGCATTCTTCCAAGGTCGGCATAACCTATCCATTGCCCTATCAGAAAATTGAATACTAGGGCCTCGATCACCCCGAGAAATAACCACATTCTCGTTATCATTGAGATCCTCATAATCATCATCCAAACAATTAACATCTATACCCACATTCTTAGTCAAATTCACCTTATTCATAAGCTTATCACGAAAACTATCAGAACCAAGGTGAAAACGAGATACCTGTTCAGCGTCAATGGGTGTCTGGTCCTGCATCAGCCGTGAATCCAGATCAGCATCCATATCACACTCAGGTTCAGCATTCTCTGATGCTCGACTTCGCTTAGCCAAGCGATGAGGATTGAAGGGAGCTCCAGGTGATCCTTCCGCCATAACCAACAGGAAATCAGAAGGAAACAGCCAGAAATGACAGAGAACTTGCCGGGAAACCACCGCAATTGGCAGTTTCCAGCAGGAAAACGATCGGCAGCGGGCGAGATCTGAAAAGCAGAGAAATATTCGTCGCGCGTGAGGCGCGTACAAAAAAGGCTGAAGCGTTCACAACATATCACGTAGATTAAAATACATAATCGACCACCATTCTGAATACCTCTGTATAACATGTTTCAGTACAGTTATGTTTCAAAGCATGCAAATGAAAGAGCTCGATAGCTTCAAAATAATATAATCCCTCAACCTCGTAAATCTTTTTCGTTTAATATCTCACGAAGGACATTTCGCAAGTGCTTTAGTCCATGTTTTTCCGACTCCTCCCTAACATTTGCAAGAAAACAAGAAGCTTCAAATTTAGAAGAAAGTCGGTGATACACAGCATCAGCGAGAGTGGTCTTGCCAATACCACCCATGCCCCAAATACCTACAGTGAAAACATCTGGTGAATTAAAGCATAATAACCCTTCTATTTGCTCAATTTTCCATTCAATTCACTTGACGTTTTGCAATTCAATTTGGTCAAAAAATCTTCGACAATATTCTCAATGAAATTGGCCTCTGTCCTGGCAAATATGATTATGAGGACAAACAATTAGTTAGCCTTAAGGAATCTTGTTTGAATTAAATGGTACAAGTAGAAATAGCAGAGTTAGTTACCCCCTTTTGTTTGAATTATCAAACCCAGCCATATTGGCTGCGGCCTTCAAAGCATCTCTCCACTTGCGCACCTTCATAACTCCCTCCGTGCTGTCCTTGAAACGTGTTTCAAGTTGAGCAAATGCATATGCATAACTTCCCTGCTGATTTCGAACATGTGATGGGTCGATGCAGTAAAAAATCGGTAGAACAAACTGTCCCCTCTTGCCTTGCATCGCAGTATATGCACTAGTTCATCCAAACACCATGTGGATGAAGCATAATTTTTCGAGAAAATGATCACCGAAAGCTTTGATGTCTCAATTGCTTCGAAAAGGGCAGGTGCAATTTGCTCTCTCCTCTCAAGTATGTCGTCTATGTAGGTTTTGATTTTCTTTGAGCATAAAGCAGCATAAAGATGGCTGGTAAAAGTATAGTGGGTGTCCTCACCTCTGAAACTAAGAAACACATCATACTTTTCCTGAGGGGGGATTGCAGCAGCAGAGGAAGCCATATTGATAACCTGCAAACCCACTACAAGTCAACACTCAAAACTTTGCTATATTCTTGACCAAAAAACCCATGCATATTCATAACACATGCAAATTAACAACACTAGCTGCACATTGGCTGTATATATTCAGAATGGGAAATATGTTGGATTTTCTTTTAATACTAGCAGCACTAAGAGATCAATATGCAAACATCAGAAAAGGATAACAAAGACAGTGATGATGAACTCAAAGGTCGGCTCCTGCTTCTGGGACCAGACTTGTTTTTCCTACCTCGATAATCTACTTTCCTTGATACATATAGAAGAGTTGTCTTCTGGGGAAAGGCTGATAATATCAACCAGCCATACAAATATAAGAAGCAAAGTGGCTTCTTAAAGTCCTTACAAACATAATACAACAAAAACAGTTTCTGACAGAATAGGCTTGAGCCCTTTTTCACATACAATAATTAGCCCGAGCTATTTTTAACATAATCTCAGATATATAACAAGGACATTAACATTAAATTAAACAAAATAAGGAAAAAAAAATCCACAAAATTGAAGATCTTTGTACAACAGAGATATCCAAGATAAGTTAGAGGCAGTCTCGAAGGGGAAGTCAGGGGATTACCCCAGGATCCAGATCAAGAACGACGTAAAATGTAAGAAGACGTTGTACCGCAGGATTGTCTTAAGCAAGAGAGAGAGCACTAGAAAGCAGTTTCAGAGAGGTTGCCCTTCTTATTAGGAAGCAATAGGTTGTTGCAGTTGCAGGAAAAGGCATTGTATCGGGGACATGGCATGCACACCATTGTTTTTCAGTCAATAGAACTTTCATTAGAAAAAGCGGAGCAACCAAAAAAAGAAGAAGATAAAAATACAAAAGTCCTAATCAGAAGGGAAAGTCTTGGGGTATAAGGATGTGCAATGGAAGTCAACTTTGTTAAGTTCAACTTAGATGAAAGTCAGCTGTATTCTGTGCAATTCTTTATACTAATTATTTAGCAATACTCTCAAAAGAATGTGCTGTCTTTGCTGGAATCCAATTTCGCACCTCTAGGTTTTTGGTTTTTCATAGGGTCAATCTCATTAGTTGCCCTGCATTTGAGGTCATTTGCAAAAGTAATCCTTGAATGTTACTTAAAAATGAACAATTCTAATCGGGTTTAGAGTTTAGGGAACGTAGGGTGAGTCGTCGAAACAAGTAGTTAGAGCCGTATCAATCAAAAAGGAAAGCAAAAAGACATTAAGAAAAAATAACTTTTGGGCTTGTCTGAGTTAGATGCATCGCTCTGAAAAGTAAGCAAGTTTTCAGTTGAAGTCCCAGAGGAGTTTTACAACACTGAGGCAATTCAAGCATGTTTCACAGTAACTAGACAGATGTTGGAGACGAGGTTAATTTAACGTGTACAATGCATCTAAGGAATTGAAGAATATGTAATATTACCCATTTAGGCAAACTAACTACAGCTTTACACTCAGAGTATCAACAACACAGAATTCAAACTGGTAACCAAGCTTGCACCTGCAGTGTATGGGAAGCTCAAACCCCTCTCCACCAATTGGAAGGGAAGCCTCATTCATTGTGTGCCAAAGCAGACTGTAAATTGGCCATCTTGCCAGATCTCCAAATCTTGAAATTCAATCATTGGGCACAAGCACCATGTCTATCAACACATAGCACATCTCGTTTGGCTAAAATGCATACACAAATAATGCTCTATATCTTCACTGTGCTTTCACAAATATCTGGCTGGACACGCCATACAACAAATCCAAGTTCCCATCAGTGTGTCTAATCCAGTCATAGAGAACCACATGAAGCGGGATTGAGGGACCAAATCCAAGTTCCTGAAACACATTTTGAAGAGAGCGTAAATAAAAATAGTCTCAGTTTGCTACATTCCAAATTGTACCGAGCCTTATAACTCTTTTTGTTTCTAGAATGGTAAAAGTAAGAAGGGATTAAAAGAGAAGGCAAATCAACATGTCATGATGGTGTTTACTAATATGACGTCAAAGGTCAGTATAGGGCATATGCCATGCTTCCTGCCACCTACACTACACCCATATAACAAGTCCATTTTTCCGAATTTGAGCATTGAAATTGCATACAGTGAGCTCAACTAAAATCAGGATTGCGAACATTACTAACTGCAGTAGTTCAAATTCTTCTTTTTCTCTGGATGTGGAGCAAACTAGTAAATCATTACTGTGATGGAAGAGTGAACTACATTGCTTCAATTTGAAACCAAAAGAGGACTTGGTCAAAACACGTTAATGTGTAATATTGTGATCACTAGTTCTCTCCACAGTAACTCTTTATCTGAGGTGATTTCTGATTGCTTGTTATTTACCAGTGTAACAAGGCAAAGAGAATTTGTTAGAGATGTAAATCAAGTCCAATTTATAAGTAACACATTGACTACTAAAATTTCAACTTACTGAAGTTCTTCAATGACAATTGCTCTGTTTCCATCTCTCTCAAAAAGTTCATATACACATCGAGCATGTTGTTCGCAATGATCAAGTGCCTCGAGCTGATGAACACTTAATGCAGCGGCACAGAACTCTTCAAAATCCATAGAAAAAGTCATGGAACATCAAAGCAACCAAATTATTACCGATGCAACGAGATCAGAAATCCGAGACTCCTTCATTGCATCTGTAGCATTTTGCATCAGAGCCTGCCGAGGACAAAATGAAAAGAATAGTTTGAGCATTAAATTATCTGAGAGAGAGAGAGAGAGAGAGAGAGAGAGAGAGAGAGCAACCATTCTAATTGGGACTTGAGGAGTAAATAGGAGGATGCCTCAGGGGTAAAACAGGAGGAGAGAGAATTGAGGTTGTGGAGATGGCGTTTGAATATGGCTTGTGAATATGAGGTTTCAGGAGGGGCATTTCTGGTATTGAAGAAGTTAGATGTTTAGCAGATTAACCTTATAGTCGAAATAGGATGCTATTTCATTTTTTATTCTTGCATTTTTGTTGTGGGTCTTTATTTCAGCCCGTTTGGTGGGTTGGTTTGGCTGGACAAGTCCAATTAATTGAACGTTGCTCTAGTCCATTGTTTGATGCTATGGGTTTTCAATTCAGTTTGATCTTGTGAGATTATTTTTACTCAGCAGGCTACAATTGGTCAAAAATAGCAGCTCTTGTGAGTGGGATTTTGCATGAGGTGCTATCGAGGGTTCAGGGTTGTAACATGTTGTACCTCGTACAAGTATACACACTTGGCGGAGCTTCGTTTCTAATCGTCTCACTAAGTTTTATTTACTTTTATTCTAACTTCGCATTTTGAACTGTTGTTCTTGCAACATGTGAAACTTGTGATTTCGATAAAAGATGCACACTTTCGAATTCCGATTTATCATCCATCTTCGTCAATCAAAACCAATAAAAGCTCTGATACCAATTATTGTGCTTAGAGTGCCAAATTGGAACTACTAATAATAAATAAAATAAATTCTTATTTAAATTGATGTAACATATAAGACAACGAGAAACTTTACCAATTTCTTACAAAATTGACTCACTAATAATAACTTGGGGCATTTCCAGAATTGAAGAAGTTAGAGGTTTATTAGAAGCACAGTGGGAAGTAGAACGGAGAAGACGAAATTACAAGAGAGTCAAAGTGGGATGTTTTATATATTAATAAAAAATATATTTTTTCTTGTGGATCTTTCAATTTCAGGCTTAGCTTTGGTTCGGTTCCATGGGCTGAAACCAGCTGTGGACTTTGCTCAATCCCTACAGTTGGGCTTGGACTTTTAGAACCCTTGGGTCCATTAGAGATTTTTTTTGCTCAAGTTGAAACGAAAAGTGAGAAAATGACCTCTTAGAAACTTATATTTCAAGCCAATCACAATTTAACATGTGAGCATAAATTTTTCTTATATTTGTAATGAAAAATTTCTGTAAATTGTGATTTGTATAAAGAAAGAACGTCTTCTTCAAAAGCAATCGTGGTATATTTCTCCCTCTTTATGCGGATTAATATGTAAAATATGGTGCTCTCTTCTTGACCAATGTAAAATTGCAAAACCTTAACTGCCAATGAAGCATTTTTCTTTTTAAATTGGTCAAGAAGGAGAATTCGAACATAAAACTTTCATTTTATATCAGTAATAACTAATAATACTTCAAGATCAAGTTGGTCCATAAAAACATCTTTTGGCGTCACAAAACAGATGTAATATGATCGGCTGCACCCTCTTTCTTTCATTTCTTTTAGTTTTTTTAATTTTTAAATCTTTGATCTTATTTAAAAGAAAAAGGAGTATATATATATCTTGTTAATATGCATTGTTGTACTACTACTATCCAAAAGGAGTATCCAAATTGGTCGTCCTGTAGGGTCCTCCCTGAAAGCGTATTGTATTTCTGCCTTATTGTAAAGGGTTCACATTTCTAAGTAATAATTAGGGCAATTGAACGAAGGATTAATTGTCCTTGTGATTGGGAATTGAGATTGTGTTTGTGTGGATTAAAATCATCCAGTAAATCAAACTTACCTTTACACTCTTAAATTTATTTTCTGTTATCTAAATTTTTAAAAGACTAAAACATACTCATTCTCTCACACACACACACACACACTCTCTCTCTCTCTGTCTAAATTTTTAAACGACTATATTTATTTTTTATTATAAGAATTAATTTTGTAATACGTAAGCATTCAAACAAAATTTTACATAATTAAAAATTTACAAAAATATCTTACATTCTAAGATAATCATACAAAGAAAAATACTTTTTGTGAATGAAATTTCAAACCAACGTTTTGGGAAGGGTTCTTTATTATCCATAAATAGATTAGTCTTCCTGGAATTAATAAGGTAATTGATTCAGTCAATGTTTATCTATTTGAATATAGAGAGTCTTTGTATAGTCAATGATTATGGTCTGTGAAAGGGTTTCCTACATAATCTGGTTCAAAGAGTACTTGTGAATTGTAGTGCTTCTTTCACAAGAACATAAGTTGTATATTGGGAGGCAAGCGCTAGTAACCATAAGCACCTGTGTGGGGTATAATTCGTCTTAAGGTTAGAGTGTCCAACACTTGCCTCGATTCAATTATTCAGGTTCTTCTAATCCAAGTTATGTGATTTTTCATTGTGTATGTTTGTAAACATAATTTTTTAAGCATGAATTGAATGATTATTTCTGAATTTCTGCGTAAAATATAGCAATTGTACCCATTTTTTCCAACACCTTCTACTTTGGTTTTTCTTGTTTTTTTTCTTCCGTTACCGCTGTGGCTTTTGTTTTTCTTTTATGCCCTGGTGGCTCCCTGTGATGTTGTTTGTCTACTTGTGTCCTTTGCCTTTCAGCTGTTTATTGAAAAAAGGCTGACCATTTTCTAACATGTGTGACCATTTTGTCTTTTTAGTGAGGACCACCTTGTATGCTTCTGCCCACGTGATCTACAAAACAAAAGAATGATCTCGCTTAACCACAAGGAAAATGCCATTTGCTACCGAATTCTCAAGACAATCGCATGTTACCTTGGATTGAACCATATCCATCATTCCCTTTTGAGCGTCCATTCGTGCGCCGCTAAGCTTTTGCGCACACATGTATTTGTCCATGGGGAAGAAAAAAAAAGGTATTATTTTGGTTTACAAAATTATACTCAAATCTTCATCTTCAAAAACAATAACTGAACACCCAAAAAAAAAAAAAAAAAAAAAAAAAAAAAAAAAAAAAAAAAATTTTATTATAATTTTTAAAGATTTTATTAATGGTACATTTCTCATAATAATAAGATTTCTATGTTTAAACTTATACCAAAATAATAAGATTTCTTTTGTGATTTCTCAATTTCTCCCTCTTCTAGATTTGGCATGTAAAGGGGAAGTATGGGACCTTTGAAAGCAGCAGCAATACAAGCACAGTACTATAAGTGAGTGTGGAAAATGTCTCCGCAAAGCCAAGGCAGAAACGACTTTCCCAATTAGGCATATCATATTAGTCGTACACAAAACGCGTGAGCAACACTTTCGTCATCGTCAAAATAAGCCAACCAAATAGTCTGAAATATCGATAATATCGACGAAATATCGATGATATTTCGGTTTTTTCGAATTACGGATATTTCGGAACATATCCGTGTACATATCGTATAAATATTGACAATATCGATGATAATATCGGAAAATATCGATGTCGATAATTTCGCTCACACTTTAGCAATATTTTGTCAAAATATCGGTGTAATATCGCTAAAATATCGAAAATATCGATGTATAAGGAAAAAAAAAGGAAAAAGAAGAAAAAAAGAAGGGAAAAAGGGGATAAAAAAAAACACAAAGAGGATTTGAACCCCTCCCATTTGACTCCTCCAATACCTTAACCACCATATATCACTTATGTTTTAGTGATAATATGCTAAAATATTTATATTTATATGGGTGACATGTTAACAATCACATGCAAAACTATTTTGGGGATTTATCATTTGATGAATACTCTTCACAATACACTTACTCTACACATAGAGATGATGAAAATAGTGAAAAATTTGAACCTCATAGGAACTTTATATGGTACTAAGTCACTCATGTATCTTACCATGCAATGTATAAAGTGTAAAATATTGTAGTAAATCATTATATATAAATAATTATGGTGTGTTTAATATTTTTTTCATTAATTACTACATATTTTCTATACTCATAGTGTTTGCCAACTCGCTGTATAATCAAGTTAAATCAGTTAAATCTATCATGTAATGCATTTCCTTATAATTTTTATTGATAAACTAATAGATAATTGACTAAATAAACATTCCCTAAAGTTTCAATAAAAATTTTCAAGTTTTTCTTACAATTTCCGTGATTTTTATTCAATTTTTATCGATATCGATAATATCCCGATATTTCCATCGAAATTTCAATGTTTTTGGACTACCAATATTTGCGATATCATCGTTATTTTAGACCATGAACCAAACCAAACCCAAGCCCTCTCTCTTTCCAACACGTCCTCTATTTTTGTTCTCATCTCCCAATCATGCAACATTATTTTATTATTTATTTCTCAATATTCAAGGAGTTGAAAATTCTTCCTACTCTCGCTTTAGCGCGTTGACTTAACACCCTACCCTCCACAACACATCCTAAAACTTACACTAGTAAACACATGTTTTTACTCTATTACAATTTCTTATTTCTATTTTTCATATCTTATATTAGCGTAATAAAAAATAATGACATAATCAAACGTGGATTAATCCATTTGAAAAATGGGCTAGGACATTGAGTCCATCGTGTTAAACTTAAGTTCGAATTCCCCTCCCCATATGTTAGATGAATTTAAAATAGATTATTGTTTGTATTAAAAAAAAAATCATTATTTTCTAGTTCTTACTTCCGTATTAGTTAATTCATGTTGTAAATTTGTAAATGTATGAATGGCATAATTCATCTCAATTTGAGCCATTATAAAAAATAGGAGAAAGTTTTGTGATTTTGAGATTGAAGTTGAAGAAGATGAAAACTCGCCCCATGAAATTAAAGCATTTCCAAAGGGGGCTCAAAATTGCGCTCAACCACCGTTGGGTATCATAATTGAACTTGTGGGGCCTGTTGTTTCTTCTGTACATGACCAATCGATCATTGGCTTTTAGATATGAGCTTCACTACTATGGTCTCCATTTTTATTGAAAATGGCATTAACAACATACAGTTAAAATTTAATTATTGAAATCAATCCCATACATTAATCAACAAGCTGATACTAATTTTCTGTCAAAAACCTGTTTGTAGGAAATTCATTATATTGAGTGTTACCAAATTTATCTTTAAAGTAACTAGTAAATAATTAATATTTTGTGTTCTAAAATATGTTTGATATATATTAGGCTCATTTTAAAGATCTCATTGAGATCTTATTAATGGTACATTTCGAGTGTTAACTAAGACACTTGTCACAATCCAACTTCTAAATATGATGTCAGTGCTACATGAATAAATATAAAAAGATGTATCAGGAGCCATGCAATTTCCTTTTAACATATGGTTGTCTTTTTTTGTAAAATATATCTTGGATGGGTAGTTGCTGTGGCGAGGGACAGGGACGGCCAAATAATTTCTGCATGGTATACAACCTGATGAGAATACCTAAATATCTATATAGGAAAAATATTCAAATAGCATGGCAAAATAAAGGGTAGACTCAAATGGGAATAGGAAAAAAGTTACAAGAAAAAGTGGAAAAAAAGGTTGGCAAGAGCGAAGGATACAAGCCAAAAGATAAAAGGAAAAAGGTCTCTCTCTGACGTGCTGGATATCTTGAGAGATTCCTAAAAGAAGAGTGCAACCAAACAGAGCTGTTCATATAAAGATCAAAGTCGCAATATTTTTGGTTATCATTTTGTCACAGAGAGAGAGAGAGAGAGAGAGGAGAGAGAGAGAGAGAGAGAGAGAGAGAGAGAGAGTTCCATGGAGCTTGATCGTTTTAAGAAAGTGTTAAAGGCCTCAGATGTTAAAAGACTTGTAGTGACCAGCGCCATGCTTGCGATGCTACCTCGTGCCGATATCCAGATCGGGATGTCCCAATCAGAGTTTTCGACAACCAGAAGCGCAAGGTTTACGAGTTCAAATTATCCAGCAGACAACGGGGCAGATACAAAAAGCCAGTTTTCCAGTCTAGAGGATGGAGAGTGTTTGTCAATGACAGGGGGATTGCACCTAGGGACGTGCTCTATTTCTGGGAGGAGGAGTACCAAATTCATGGAACTCGATATCGCATTGCACTGTACAAGCCAGATCTTTTCCCTCATCTTTAATAATTCCAGTCAGGTGGTCAAATTCCAGTCAGGTGTTGTAACCCATAATAGGGATTTATCTTGTATGGTCCTCTTGGTATGGAAGGAGAAGCAAAGGAAACTCCTTATAATTTAATATTTTTAACTGATGCACGTTTCTTTTCCAAAAGTGTTTATCTTGTATGGCCCTCTTGGTACTCCTCTCAGAGCATTTCCAGCAACTCGGGCTGTGGGGCCCAAAAACCGTTTCCAACAGCAAAGGCTGGCCCGGGTAGGAGGTGGGGGCCACGAGACTGGGCTGGCCCTAGGGTGAGGCTTGCCCGAGCGCGAGCTCGAGTTTTGGGATGATGTCAGCGTAGCCCTCTCCAACGTTTAAAAAAATTCAAACACGTGCTACAGTGCCGCCAACGACTAGCAGCCACGTGGCGTCGTCTGGGCTCTGATCGGATTTTTTCCTCCAATCCAACGGCAACGAATTTTTGTGCAATAAAATAATGAAAAAAAAACCAAATTATTGATTTTTTTTTTCTATAAATACCAACCATTAATCTGAAATTTGAAACCGAAAATTTTATTCGATTATGAGATATAAATTGTATTGACACGTAGGAACCCAAAAATCTTATCTTAAAATATTATCCAAATTAATTGTTTAGGTAAAAAAATTTGTGAAAAAAACAAAAAAATGAATAGTATTTGCCCTTTGCCATGTCAACTGGTGGAAATACACATTGCTTTTTGCAAGGGCAGCCACTATTCACGTGAATAGTAGCTGCCCTAGCCTCCCCTTGGCATGGCAAAGGGAAAACTGCTGGAAGTGCTCTCATAAGTGTTCTCTCTCTCTCTCTCCTCTCTCTCTCTCTCTCTCTCTCTCTCTCTCTCGTTAGATGAGAGAGCCCGTTGTTTCCGTAGATTGCATGTATGCGTATGAATGGATGACAGTTTTAGCGTATGTGTCCGTACATAACTAGTCGATCATTGACTTTTAGATACTACCTTTAGATAATGTCACTATGGTCTCCATTTGTCTCTCTTTTGAAAATGACATTAACAACAGACAGTTAAAATTTAATTATTGAAATCAATCCCATACATTAATCAACAAGCTGATACTAATTTTCTGTCAAAAACCTGTTTGTAGGAAATTAATTATATTGAGTGTTACCAAATTTATCTTTAAAGTAACAAAATATATACATATATATATAAATATATATTGAGTGTTACCGAATTCATTTTGGAGACGGCAAGAGTATTAAATTAAAATTAAAAAATTTCCTTTTGCCTTTAAGAGACAATAGGAGGAGGTGAGGAGATGAGTCATCGTGCGAGATGTGAATGGAAGAAACACCTTCTAATGTGCGCATGTGTCCCTACTAACATGTTTGAGCTCGATTACCAAACCGAAAGGTAAACCTCTGGTTTGGCAAAATCTTTCTATTTCCTGCATTTGGCATCTAGTGCATTGTGCATGCTACGCAAACCCCCGAAATGAAGACAATCGCATAAAACATGATAGTAAATGCCTTGAATTGTCATTTTCTCTCTTCCTGTTTCGCTTGGGTTTTCAACTTCTGAACCCAACAGATCTCAAGTAAATAGTATATGTTGTAAAATATGTCTGATATTAGGCTCATTTTAAACATCTCCTTCAGATCTTATTAATGCTATATTTCCTATTGAATTTCTATGACATTCCAATAACATTTATATTAATATTATGCATATATTTCGTGACCAAAGTTAGTTAGGGAAGTTGTGGGGGCCCACGAAACTAGGTCAGCCCTCAGGCAAGATGAGCCTGAGTTCAAGCCCGGGTTTGCTGACGTCAGCAACAATTTTTTATTTTTTTTATTTTTATTTTTAAATCTACAAAAAATTTCAGATTTTAAAAAAATAAATAAATACTTAGTCATAGTTTTCACTTCCCACACCAAACTCTATACAAATTTTACAAATTTCTCTCCTCATATGTTATGTGAATAGTTGTTGCCATGACAATGGGTGGAAACACCATAACCTTTGGCAAGAGCAGCCACTATTCATATGAATAGTAACTGCCCTAGCCCTCCCTTGCCATAACAAAGGACAAACAGGTGGAGTGTAATTCATACGTGTTTGAATTTTTCTTCTTAAAGATAAAGATAAGCCGGCACACTAATTTACTTTGTTAAATTTGACTCTCTACCAAACCTCAACCTCTTGAGGCAAGTTGTTAAACACCTTACCTTGTCAATTACCGTGTCTTAGGCTAGGGACGTAATACTAGTTGTCAATTGCCACGTCCAATTAATAAATCAAAAAGTCAACTTTTACGGACTTCATGCCACTACTAAAACATCCATAAGTATCCCAAATTATACTGGATTTGGATTATGTCTATGCTCATTAGTAAATAGTATATGTTGTAAAATATGTCTGATATTAGGCTCATTTTAAACATCTCCTTCAGATCTTATTAATGGTACTTAGTTAAAATGAAAAAAGAAAAAAGAAAAAAAAAGCCAGTTTAAACAAAAGTGGAGATGGACAGTACACCGAAACCAATAAAAGCCGCCATTCGCTCCCGAAACCAATAAAAGCCGCCATTCGCATTTGAAGAATATGCATTATAACGTTGCCAATATGCATATTGCTGATACTGACATCCTTTTCGACTTAGCAGACCAGACAGGGACGGCCCCATTTATCTTGTAAAATTTATCTTTTCATGAATTTTAATATCTTTAGATTAATTTTAAAAAGTTTTATAGGTTTTTAAAAGACACAAAAATGTTTATTATGTGTATTTAACAACAAATTTAACGGAATGGACAACATTGGCTAACGGTCCTAAACACAGGGACCGAATTGGCCAAATTGAAAACACAAGGACTAAATTAATTAAGGTAGTAAAACATAGGGATCATTTTTGCATTTAAGCCTTATTTTTTTTGGCAGACACGGCTTTAGCCAAGTTAGTTAGAGTAGATGTGCTTCCCACTTTACACCCGAGTTTGAATCCCCCTCTCCATAGTTTAGATTAATTTAAAATAGATTATCGCTTATATAAAAAAGAAATCATTATTTTCTGGTTTTTGCTTCCGTATTAGTTAATTCATGTTGTAAATTTGTAAATGTATGAATGGAAAAATTCATCTCAATTTGAGCCATTATGCAAAATAGGAGGAAGTTTTGTGATTTTGAGCTTGAAGTTGAAGGTGTTGAAAACTCACCCCATGAAAGCATTTCTAAAGGGGGGCTCTAAATTGGGCTCAACTACCGTTGGGTTTCATAGTTGAACTTGATGCCCTGAAACCGAGTGGGCCCCATTTGGAAGGAAGCTGAAGCCCACTTGCTTATGTCCAAATTGCAGCTCTCCACTCACCCAGCGCACCTGGGAATTTATCCTCGCCCTTCTACTTTATTTTTGTGGTGAGGGTTGCATGTAGACCGGCTAGTCAGATAAAAGTTTCAAGTGAATAATTATAACGGAGTCTCACTAAGTGAAAAAAGATATTAATTAGTATATCAGTAATTTTAGATTCAAACTCATATAGCATATTGGCCGTATTCTTATTAGTTGAATTAATTGTTTATGAATTCGCAAGCATGGAAATACTAAATTGTCAGAACATTGGAGTAATTAACATTTTTTTGGTTTGGTCCATGAGATCTTTGAACAAAGCAGAGTCTTGAGTTGATAATATTGGCATTAGATGCTTAAAGATCCTTGAACAAAAAAGAGTCTTGAGTTCATACCCAAATGGTTTGGGTATGAAAACTTGTCTCTCTTTAAGCATCTAATGCCAATATTATCAACTCAAGACTCTTTTTTTTTCAAGGATCTCATGGACCAATTTGAAGTACTAATGCTCAGGCTATACCTTTTACTTTTTTATTAAAAGACTTTTTCATCTGCCTGTCAAACGTCGCTTTTGGAGCGGCTGTAGTATCCTATGGAAACATGCCTTGTTTGTATGTATCCCGAGAGAGAGAGAGAGAGAGCGAGAGAGAGAGAGAGAGAGAGAGAGAGAGAGTGAAGATGAAAACTTTCTGTCCGTCTGTCTGTCTGTCTCTCTTTAAGCATCTAATGCCAATATTATCAACTCAACTCAAGACTCTTTTTTGTTTAAGGATCTCATGGACCAATTTGAAGTACTAATGCTCAGGCTATACTTTTTTACTTTTTATTAAAAAGACTAACATAATTATTGAAAACCTGATCTGCCTGCCAAACGTCGCTTTTGGAGCGGCTGTTAGTATCCTATGGAAACATGCCTTGTTTGTATGTATCCCGAGAGAGAGAGAGAGAGAGAGAGAGAGAGAGAGAGAGAGAGAGAGAGAGAGTGAAGCCGACATGCACCCACTAGTGCTCAGGTTTTATCACTCAGTTCTCCTCCGCGCCTGGTTTTAGCATACCTTACGCCTTTCATCGTCCAACACTTTTATTGAGATATCATGGTTTGGTTCTGTAGGGGGCATGAACACTACTAACATGCCCTTTGTCACAATGTGTGATCTAAGGGCATCGTGGCACTATTAACCAATATATACTATTGTTATTAAGAAAATGTATCATCAAACTTATGAAATGAATGAATTTTCAAACCCTTTTGCTAGCTAGATTAGGTACTTCCTCCCTGAAAGAGTATTGTATTTTTGCCCTATTGTCAAGGGTTCACATTTCTAAGTAATAATTAGGGCAATTGAACGAAGCATTAATTGTCCTTGTGATTGGGAATTGAGATTGTGTTTGTGTGGATTAAAATCATCCAGTAAATCAAACTTACCTTAACACTGTTATACCATTGGGAAAAGTATATATGCATGCTTGTTAATTATCACCAATCATATAACTAGTTAGTTGGACATGCATATGCACACTCTCTCACTCACTCACTCGTTCACACACACACACACACACTCTCTCTGGTTGGCTTTCGTTTTCAACTACTGGACTGACCCAATACAAGAGCTGCCATTGTTGATCAATTGAGTAAAAATAATAATCCCAGTTATTGAATGAGCCAAGGAAAAAAACAGAAACCTCACTAGATCAAATCGAAAAGAAAACCCATCACATCAAATTCGCAGCACAAGCCTTGATGGTACTTAAGTTGTAAAGAAGGGCATGATAGTTTGTAGTTCATCTGGTTAAGAACATTTACTCTTGTATCAGAGACGATTCCCTCTTCTCCCAATATCCCTTTGTATAAATGAAATTGAACCAAGTTCTTTAAACCCTAAACCTTGAATAGAATTATAACTTCATCAACCAACAAACATTTATGTTTTTTAGGAGAATTTGAACAAAGTTCTTTAAAAATGATGAGGGGGCCCGGGACCAAAACAGTTCCATGACAAAGTAATGATGAAGTTAGCGTTACCCAAATGCCGGACAACCTATAATTCCTTTAGATCTCATGTGATAATTACTACGTGGAAAGTGTGCACTGAAAACGACCCTGGTAAACTATTCTTGTACTTACCTTTAAGGATATATCATGTTTCTTGCCACTTAAGAAATTCTTTGAGTTTAAATTGAAACTTTGAAGAATTAGTAGTAGCTGTCCAAGATTCCAAGTGTGGGGTCTCAGAGTCCAAGATTCCAAGTGGGGTCTGAGAGATGTCGGCTGTAGGCATACATCTATATATAAGATTAAAATAAAAGACTTCATTACACTACGCCTTTATTATTAATTATATATGAATATATGAATATTATCTGTAAGCCAGAATGAGTTTTTATTTTTTATTTTGGTCGTAAAAGTCAGAATGAGTATTAAAAACCAAACCGAAAGGACAAACCTCCGGTCTGGCAAAATCTTTCTATTTCCTGCTTCTAGTGCATGCTACACAAACCCTCAAAATGAAGACAATCGCATAAAACATGATAGTAAATGCCTTGAATTGTCATTTTCTCTCTTCCTGTTTCGCTTGTTTTTTCAACTTCTGAACCCAACAGATCTCAAGTAAATAGCATATGTTGTAAAATATGTCTGATATTAGGCTCATTTTAAACATCTCCTTCAGATCTTATTAATGCTATATTTCCTATTGAATTTCTATGACATTCCAATAACATTTATATTAATATTATGCATATATTTCGTGACCAAAGTTAGTTACATCCTTCTATAATCTAATCCATTGCCATATTATATATCATATCAATACTTTAATTAAAGCAATACGTTAGCCTCAGTTTTTATCTTCTTCTAAGAGTAGTTCCAACAACTCGGGGCGTTTTCAGTGGCTAGGGAAGTTGTGGGGGCCCACGAAACTAGGTCAGCCCTCAGGCAAGATGAGCCTGAGTTCAAGCCCGGGTTTGCTGACGTCAGCAACAATTTTTTTATTTTTTTATTTTTATTTTTAAATCTACAAAAAATTTCAGATTTTAAAAAAATAAATAAATACTTAGTCATAGTTTTCACTTCCCACACCAAACTCTATACAAATTTTACAAATTTCTCTCCTCATATGTTATGTGAATAGTTGTTGCCATGACAATGGGTGGAAACACCATAACCTTTGGCAAGAGCAGCCACTATTCATATGAATAGTAACTGCCCTAGCCCTCCCTTGCCATAACAAAGGACAAACAGGTGGAGTGTAATTCATACGTGTTTGAATTTTTCTTCTTAAAGATAAAGATAAGCCGGCACACTAATTTACTTTGTTAAATTTGACTCTCTACCAAACCTCAACCTCTTGAGGCAAGTTGTTAAACACCTTACCTTGTCAATTACCGTGTCTTAGGCTAGGGACGTAATACTAGTTGTCAATTGCCACGTCCAATTAATAAATCAAAAAGTCAACTTTTACGGACTTCATGCCACTACTAAAACATCCATAAGTATCCCAAATTATACTGGATTTGGATTATGTCTATGCTCATTAGTAAATAGTATATGTTGTAAAATATGTCTGATATTAGGCTCATTTTAAACATCTCCTTCAGATCTTATTAATGGTACTTAGTAAATAAAAAAAAAAAAAAAAAAAAAAAAGAAAAAAAAAAAAAAAAGAAAAACAAAAATTTTAAAAAAAAAAAAGGAAAGTACACCGAAACCAATAAAAGCCGCCATTCGCTTCCCGAAACCAATAAAAGCCGCCATTCGCATTTGAAGAATATGCATTATAACGTTGCCAATATGCATATTGCTGATACTGACATCCTTTTCGACTTAGCAGACCAGACAGGGACGGCCCCATTTATCTTGTAAAATTTATCTTTTCATGAATTTTTAATATCTTTAGATTAATTTTAAAAAGTTTTATAGGTTTTTAAAAGACACAAAAATGTTTATTATGTGTATTTAACAACAAATTTAACGGAATGGACAACATTGGCTAACGGTCCTAAACACAGGGACCGAATTGGCCAAATTGAAAACACAAGGACTAAATTAAAAAGAGAATTTCAATCCCACTTAAATAAGGAATTTCCAAAACCCAATTGAATATGAGAAGTTTCAATTAAACCTAGGTAGGAATTATATAAGCCCCTTAGAATAGAAGCCCACGAATGCCCAGCAGTTCCCTTTTTTTTTTTTTTTTTTTTTTTTTTTTGAAAATCTTTATTTAAATTGGCTTATTCCATGACCATGAACAAATGGCATATGTGTTTTATGTGAAGGGAATGACATATTAAGCAAAAAAATGGAGAGAAAGTCCAAAGAAGAGTTAAAGAGAAGATTGATAGCATTCCTCTAATTGGACATGCATATGCACACTCTCTCACTCACTCCTCTTTAACGCCACTAGTCGCTATCTGAGACATGTTCTCGTGAAAATGGTAGGCCTGAATGGAGAATGGGACAAAGTAGACGAGAGATGTGGGCAGGGAACATGTCGTGTATGTATATGTCTCTCTCTCTCTCTCTCTCTCCCTCTCTCCCTATCTATATGTATATATATTCCATTAAAAAAATCTGTATATATATATCAGTATAAGTATTTAGTCTCACCCTATAGTATTTGGGTGGGAACTGCTGAGTTGATGTTTATACAAAGTGGGCCATAATTTTTTTAATACAAAAATTAAAAAAAAAGAAACACAAAAAGTCTTTGACTGATGCTTGCCAAACTGATCCATCAAAAGTCAAACAAATCCAATCAGACTACATACTAACCAAACTATATTTTGCCACGCTCAATTAAATTGGAGCATAATAATAATAAGAATAAAGAAAGCAAGTCCCTTGAGATGGAACATCCCACGCGACCAATTGAAGAGGGGATGCCGTGCTTTATTAGGTATATGCCCGCCTCATTCGCACAGATGCCTGTTGAGAGAGCCTCCTTGGCTTCAAAGTCATGGGACTCTGAAGTTAAGGAGTTGGGGCTAGAAGCAATCCAGGCTAGTGACTTACGGAAGTTGCTAGTGAGTTCCAAGAAACAAAAACGTGAGGTAGAGGAAGGGAGGACCCAAAACCGGATTAAATATCGTTGCAGGAATCGATCTCGATGTGACGAGACCTTCACTTCCAGGCCCAAAACCCCGTTTTCATTTATTTCCTGCCTTGGCGCGCGGGCATATGCCCCCACCACTCCTCAGCCACAGGCAGCTTATGTTGACCCAACAAGATCTCCAGGAAATAAGCCTATGTTGTAAACCGGCGATGCGTCCCTGTTTTGGTGTGCCTCTTACTTCACTCGTCCCCATTTCTCTTTGTCCACCCTCTGATCTTCGGTTCGTTTTCCACATTTCCTTCGCTCGTCTTAATGGAACATTTCCCTGCTCTTCCCTTCTCCATTCCTTACTCCCCTACGTAGTCTCGTTAAACGACCACACCCACCCGACCCCGCCCCCCGGCCCACGCCGCCGTCACCCACCCCCGCCCCACCCGCCCCCGGGATATTTCCACCTTCAAGGCATTAAGGCATGCTGGTGCGTCCCTTATCACCCCCCACTTGACGTCTCAAACCTCATATGCGGTGGGGGCTGTGTGCTAGATGTACTCTACACTAATCTATTATTCTCCCTGCACGCGCCCCACGCCGCGCATGCTCCCCCATTCACACTCTTTTTTTTTTTTTTTTTTTTTTTTTTTTTTTTTTTTTTTTTTTTTTTTTTTTTTTTTTTTTTTTTTTTTTTTTTTTTTTTTTTTTTTTTTTTTTTTTTTTTTTTTTTTTTTTTTTTTTTTTTTTTTTTTTTTTTTTTTTTTTTTTTTTTTTTTTTTTTTTTTTTTTTTTTTTTTTTTTTTTTTTTTTTTTTTTTTTTTTTTTTTTTTTTTTTTTTTTTTTTTTTTTTTTTTTTTTTTTTTTTTTTTTTTTTTTTTTTTTTTTTTTTTTTTTTTTTTTTTTTTTTTTTTTTTTTTTTTTTTTTTTTTTTTTTTTTTTTTTTTTTTTTTTTTTTTTTTTTTTTTTTTTTTTTTTTTTTTTTTTTTTTTTTTTTTTTTTTTTTTTTTTTTTTTCCCCCCGGTGGTGAAGTAATGCAATATAGTCACCTTCCCAAAAAGTGAGGAGGAGCTTCACAAGAGTACACCGTCTGATGATCTGAGCAGGGACTTCAATGTCACCAAACATACAACTCCATGCAGATTATGAGGATCACACAGAACGATCCAACAATGATGACCGGCATCGAGCCACCGTGGGCTTTAAGTTTAATCTTAAACTACAAAAACAAAGCTCCACAAAGGACACCTTTGTTTTTTGGGACAAAACAAATCCAAGGCGAATCTCATCGAATTAGGACGTGTTATAAGGTGGAATCAACAGTTCTCGCATTGTCACTTGGCCAATTTTTAAATTAAAAAAAGAAGTAAATATCACATTAAAAAAGAAAAGGCTGCCTGGCCTAAAATGCACACAAGACAGTTACCAAGAAAATGAGGGTTTAATATGGTGTTTATACTGATAAGATAATACGTTGGATGCAGCTTAACATCAAAAATACAGTATTAATCCTTATTTTTTACCCGACAATGTAAGATCAACATTCCAAGTGATTTTTTAGAGTTAATTTTGGTCTAGGAGGACAATAAAAAGTTCAAGCATAGACAGGCTACCCTTACAAAGACCAGGGTATTTGGTTCGAAACAGTTTAATTAGGACAGATTGTGGATATTGAGTTAATTGATATCTGGTCATCAAGATCGGGGACTAAAACTCAAAACTTTTAGTTAGCATAAGACGGCACTGTGGAATCATTCAATTAGGGATAATATGATAGTGACAGTCTGTATTCAGTGTTTTAGTTCAGGTTAACATATCACAACCTTTTCCTTACTGATTGGGAGGATAATGAATCAATGAAAAAAGGTGAAAGCAGAGGAATGATGTTTAGATAAGGACTCCATAAGGACCAGGGACATGAAGATGATTCAGAAATGCTCCGAAAATATAAAAAACAAGCAAGGGGGAACATTAGGGAGTACTACTTCCATTTTAGCCGAATATTATTCTAAGGGACATCCAGGAATAGTATGACGCGAACTACCTTTGAGCCTCATGGCATAAACCCCATGTCGGAGAATTTCCCGAATGTAAAACTTTTTGCTTTGTGCACATCAAACTGATATCGGAATCAGAGGTCCATGTCTGGCCTTGCTCAAACAACGATGTAGAATAGTCGGAATGTGGTCCCATCGCAGAAGAACCGGAGAAAGCTTGAAACTGTCAAATTCTTCAGGCAGGACAAAAGAAACTGATAAACACGTGAAATATGTCAGGAGTCTGAAAATATTTAGTAGGTGCTAAAAGACGGGGTTAACCCAATGTCTAAGAGAAAAGGAAATCATACAGTTTTTACTATTTTTAGGTTCAGTCTGGTGGAATTTAACCACTGACAATGCCATGACTTCAGTTGGTCCACTCGAAAGAAGATTGCAACTTTTCTCTGTGTGCAATTAAAATAAAGAGGGTTGAATACATCAGGACACATGGGACCAAGCCCATTTCATTAAAATACATACAAAATTTACGCAATGCCAAAATACATTAGCTAATCTCTAGAATATATCTGAGTTAAAAGGTTTAATAAATGGGGAAACAAAAACAAAGAACGGTAGAATACTTGTAATACGCACATTGTTGTTGTTCCATTTCGTATATTGTACATCTCCTTGTTTGTGCTTATGTTTTATTAATTTTTTAACTGTGATGTGGTTGAAGGCGTACATGAATCCAGAAAACCTCTTTCACGGTGCAATTCTTTGTTCTATCTGCAAATTCCTGACCAATGAGGTGAATATGTGCACCACTATTGTTTGCATTACTGCATCTGAGCACGTCCACCATACGAATGACTGACAACATATCTGGTCCAGGGAAGGCAGTAAACTTATCCTTGATTGGTCATCTCAATATGGTTCTTCAGGATATCCGAACCATTTGTATCAATCCAAAATTCATGAACCTGTCAAGATTGTGTATCTGAATTTTGTTGGATTATCATCGCCAAATTCATTGAAGCTGTCCTCATTCAAACTTAAACTGCCTCCTCGAAGCCGTCGCCAAGCTGATAACACCAATTACTTTTAGTTGAACAGTGGTGGTATCTCCCCAGTTCCATATAACTTTTGGGTTCTCCCTTCCCTTTTCTTGGTTCTGTACGTGAATTGGAGCTAATCTCTACAGAACCTGGACTGTAAATTCTGATAGAGGTTCATGTAACTCAATGAAATCATGGAGAGAGAGCCCTATTTTGAGTCGTCTTATCACTCTATTTCGAAAGAAGAAGAGGATAAATGGGGATGGGCACAAGTTCCAGTACTCGGACTTTCCTGAAGCAGGCATTGGCAAGCAGGGTGTCAATTCAAAACTAAAGCGACAGACCAAAGACTGCTTTGCATCTTGCTTTAAAAAAAATTAAACACGGTGTGAATGTAGTGAGATATGCGTGTTTATAATCAGGTCATAAAGACTCACTCGCTATTTCTCTTAATTGCACAAGAACAATGCTGCTCCATATGCCCTGCCAAAAGGATGATAATAATTGTCCAAAATCTTCATATATGTTCTAACATATGCTAAAGCCTAACCGATACCGAATATAAATGGGAAAAACAGCATCGAGCCTGCGACATGTTATGACAAAACCATATCCTTTTATCTCAATGGAAGTGTAGATGTAAATTAAATACATGTGCATAATAATTATGTCAAAAGCAGACATTTTACAAAAAAATTATATAAGGAAATGAACTCGATGATTAAATTATAAAGGTACTCACGGATCTAGCATCCAGTAGCTACGTCTCTGAAAATTGGGTTGTCCTCTCCATGTGCGTAATAACAATTAAAGTTTCAGCATTTCCGACCTAATCATGCATAAGAAATGTCATTACTCAACTGATATATGGGAATAAAATTGACCTCAGTACTAATCCCATTAGCTTAGTGCAAAACATAAACAGAGCAAAATAAAGTAGGAACTTTTTCAGAATAGAAAAAAAACTTCATCGAGCCACTGAACCATTCTAACAAATACCTTACTCATTTCATAACTACCCACCAAAAAAAAAAAAAAAAAAAAAAAATTACAGTTCAGTAATAAGGAAGGACCTTTTCACAAAAGAAAGCATTTAGGATAACAGAATAGACTGCTTCAACAAACCTTAAGTCGTTCATGTGCTTCACCAACGTTCTTCCATCCTTCTTTTTACGCCAATGGTGCCCGTCTCTACGGAAGAACCGAAGGACCCTCTTGTTAAATAGAAACAAAGATCCACCTGTTACAAAACCACAAAAAGGTGGGGCATATGAATTTATACGCAGTGGATGTAACAACAAGGATAGGGATACCAATATGCCACCCTAATACAATACCAAAAGGAGACTTACTACTAGGCTGTTGAGGGGGCTCTGGGGCGAGCTTGAACTTTTCATGGTTCTGTAATATGTAGAGCACTTCCGCAGGCTTCAGCCAACGGGTTTGAGCTTCTTGAAACAAATCATTAATATTATACCCTGAGAACATACGCATAATAGTACACATGTCAAACAGTTTCCAATTGACAACTTATAATGGCCATGAACCATAGTTTACAAAGACTGTGATACAACGTAGCACAGGCTTTACATAAGATCATAGAATCCAGGAAAACAGAGCTATCAGACATTAAGACACAATTTAAAACAAAAATGAATTATTTGCAGCAGGATAGACTTAAAACTGATGTTCCAAATTAGATTAACTACAAGATAACCAAACACAGCCGAATCACATTTGAACCGTTACTCATTTCATTCAGAAAGAAATTAACCAAGACAAAGTGCAAATTCTAATGGTTGTAAACAATTTTAAAAAAAAAAAAATCAACAGCCCCAAATGCCCTGATTATAAACATGAAAGGGGTCAGAAAATTTCCAAATCTATCTATATAAACAGTGCATTTTCAGACTCAAATTCAACCAAAAACTAGTAATTTGTAATTTTCTTTTCTTCTGACTGTAAGTGAACAAGCTCGCGATCCTACGTACCTGATTGCATCATTTCAGTGATTGTCGAAAAATCAAAACTTGACCACGAACTGCAGAAAAAGCGTTTGACTTGTGCTCATTTGCGTCGACAAGGACGACACTTCACTCAAATCTACAAGAAGCAAATTAAAGAGTTGAGCTTCGGAAAGGGACGAAATCCGGGTCGGGCTGACGGTTAAATATACCTGAACCGGATCAAGGTGAGCCCGTTTTCGCCGAGTGCAGTGTGGAGCTTGGAGCTCGGCTTCAAAAAGCAAAATAATCGACAGAGACAGCGCGACCAAGACCAAGTGTATTGTAAACGAAACGACAGCAGGAAGTCGAGGACGAAGGGGGGGTAAGCAAAGAAGGAGCGAATACTATCCTGTCTACCTGCCTCTACGAAGGTTCGTGCTCCGATGACGTGGCAAAAGCTAATTGGCCAGCTGAAAATCTTGCCTTGCTTCAAAGTTGGAAACTTCACGGTACGGGTCGTGAGTCGTGAGTGCCTATGTCTAGACCGCTGATGGTGTACTTACCTAGAATGATGGACAGATCAGAACAACCCCCGCATATACCGCGAAGCAGAGGAATAGATGGGTAGGTGGGGGACAACGTTCCTTCCAACTGCGGAAGGGAGGGTTGTTTTCGTCATTTAAACATAGTAGTACTAAGATAGGTGACAGCAATTTCAGCTGCGTTAATAATTTTTTATTTTTTGGTCACGAGATATTTTTAATTGATAAAATAGAAAACGTGGAAAAGTGCCGTGCTCGCATATTCCTCTCCTGAGTTCCGTTCGTTGAGTGAGTGCATAAAATATCACCCACATTTTTCATTTGTTTCGTGTGTGCGGCGGCACATATTTGACTGAGAATGAAAGAGCATAGGGAAGCAAGCAAGCAAGCAGCAGGTACATAATGCAGCCAAAGAGACGGAGAGAAAGAGGTTGGGATATAAAGGAGTGGGGTTGTAACTTGATGTGTGGTGGGGATTAAATTGTGAGGCGGCTGCCTTGGATGGTTTTGGATATTGGGTGAGATCGGAAAAGAGGATTGGGCCCTTGGCGTACATGCATTTCATTCCATTTGTTTTGTATCGATGGAGACTTGTTTAGTGGTAGAGTATTTACTTGACGTATTCGTCTTATTATTGATGTACAAAATATTAGCCAAGTAGGTTAGAGCTCTTTTAATGGGAGGAAAAGGAAAATACTCCCTCCTTACCAGGTAAGTAAAAGGTCCTACATTTATGCTAATAGACGGTGTGATAGTTTGCAAAAGTTTTTCTGTTTGTGTTTTGATAAATATTTTTGTATATGTGTCAAATTGTAATTCACATGAAAGATGAATATCTCCATACAGGTAAAGAAGAAAGTATCAAGAAGAAAAGTGGGGTTAGTTTGCTTGACATTTGTAAAATGACGGACCAACAACCAAATGGTGGTCCAATTGAATCATGCTACAACACTTTTACCCAAAAGAAGAAAAAGAAAAGACATGATAACAAAATATTTATAAGGTAGCATTATTTCGACCCAATAGAAAAAATAAAAGAAGGTTAGGCATTATCATGGAGTGTGAGAACCAGAAGAGGTCAATTTGTTGCCGGTCACAAGTGACTTTCTGTGATCGGGTTATCCTGTGGAAATGAAAACCGTTGGCTTTGGTACTAGGTAGCGTTTCCATGGTGACAATTGGTCAAATGCAAGTGGTACTATTAAAAGGAAGAAGAAAAAAATAAAATAAAATCCCATAATTATGACCAGAAGCTGGTGTCCACTCCGTACAGAAACTATTGGGACACCTAGTCAATAATGTATTAGTTGGTGTTCAAAGTGGCTAGCTGCTAGCTCTAGGGTAGTTTCCATTATCAAATAATAAGCTCCTTTTATTATTTATCGCTTTTTGGTTAAGATAGAGTTAAGAGGGTTGTGTTGACGTGACTTGTGGACCATTGACTTTTTTCTTACACACCAAAGATTCTCATTATAATTGTATTGATTTACTTAATTCTTGATTTTCTACTGTAAATAGAAATATGAATTATTATTACTTGGCTACTAAGACTTGTTGTAGTATTAAATATGACCTGTTACAGGACGGGAATATACATAAAATTCCAAACCCACATTCAACACACACACTCCCTCTTATAGGAGCTCCCAATCCCCTATCAAAGGCTAAACCAACAAAGTCAAAAAGGGAAACCAAGCCCAATTAACCCATGATCAATATTATTGGACTGACATCTTCATTTCCTCAGTGTGCGCCCAACCCAATGAAAAAAGATAATAATAAACAAAAAATAGAAAGAAAAAACTGGAGGTGGAGGAGCCTTGTATATGGTATTAGTGATGGCCCAGCAGCATTAAATGGGAAAGAAGCCTAACAAGCAAGCAATACTTGATCTTCAGTGGCTCTTATTCCTTGTCACATGGCGAAAACAGAGGACTAGAAAGAAAGAAACACACAAACACAAATGGGACGGCGGAGAGTGAATCCAAGTGACTTGTTTTCCCAAGCCTCCGCCCACACACTCTCTTCTCTCTTTATCTCATTTCCAATTCACTTCCAGTCAGCCAGTCAGTGTTTGTTTTCTTCCAATCAAAGTCTTCTTCTCTTCTGCATATATAAACTTACAACCCCAAATCCAAACCTACCGTTTCTCATTGCAGCAGTTTTGGTACCAACTTAACTTCCTCTGTCCAGCAGAACATAGAGAGAGAGAGAGAGAGAGAGAGAGAGAGAGAGAGAGAGAGAGAGAGAGAGAGTTTTAGGGATGTCTGATTGGGGCCCGGTGTTCGTGGCAGTGGTTCTGTTTGTGCTGTTGTCTCCAGGTCTGCTTTTCCAGTTGCCTGGGCGCCATGGCTGCGTGGAGTTTGGGGGATTTCAAACAAGTGGTGCAGCCATCATGGTTCACTCCCTCCTCTACTTTGCTCTCATTTGCCTCTTCTTGTTGGCCATCAAGGTCCATTTTTACCTTGGTTAACTCTTTACCAGCTCCTCTGTTTTTGTGGTGAAAATGGGACACCAAGGAAACAAGAAGAAAATGTGGCCAACTTTGTTTTGAACAGAACAGAGTCCGAGGAATAATTATTCTGTTTGGCTTCCCTTGTAACTTGTTAATTACAGTTAATGTTGTGTTTGTGAACTAAAGATTGTTTGGTACTAATATCTAAGTGAGGCTTTGATCAATTGAAAAATTTGTGTTCTTTGTGCCATGTTTTCATTGGCTTGTGGTTGCTGCTTAAGAGCTATAGACTTCTTGATCACCAAGTTATGTTCTTGCTAAATGAAATTAGATTTACTGGTTTTAGGTTGTGAAATTAAACTAGTGGTAACGTCTTGGATGATTGTAGTTTGGATTTTGGATCACTGGATATGCTTATTTCATTGCTGATTGGCTCACTCATGGATAAAGCAGCAGCCTCCAATGAGAGTGGAGGTGGTCCATGTATTATTGTAAACCTTAAAGATTTCAACAACAACAACAACAACAACAACAAAACATATATATATACACACACACACACACACACATAGAGCTTCCATTAAGGGATCTTTCAAATAAGTTTATTTGAGAGATACCCTTGTAGGGCTTACTCCGGATTGTATTTCACTAAACCAAACCATATATTTTGTAGATATTCATTCAAAGATCATCTTTATAAAAAAATCACATGAATATGATATCATTTGACCACTCAATTAAATTATTGAAATTTTAATACTTTGTTGAAGCACCGTGTTCATTGATATATATATATATATATATATATATACAATCTCCTTTTATTGAGGGATCTATCAAATAATTTTTATTTGAGGGATGCCTTTTTCTCGTACAATTTTTTTTTCCTGACAATCCAAACCATCTATATTTAAATCTTCATTCATAGATTATCCTGGCAAAAATCATGCAAATTGAAAATTAATAAGGTGTCTAATTGAGACCAACAAAATAGACACATATGGTTCTTCAAGAAAATACTATAATAACAAGCATTTAAATGAGTGGTCAAATGGTTTTGGATTCAAGTGGTTTTTTGTAGAGATAATCTTTGAAGGATTATCTAAAAACTAGACAGTTTGAATCATTGAAATACAATGCATGCTGGGCCTTATAAGAGTGTCCATTGAATAAGCTTATTTGAGGGATCCCTCAACAGAAGCCCTATGTGTGTGTATATATATATATTATTGGACCAAGTTCATCTTACTGAGGTAAAAGCAACACTGTGATGAAAGAGAGTTAGAGAATCACCCAAGTCAATTGCAGACAATCTAGAAATGTTGATGATGATCCATAACTAACCACTAGTTTTTCATAGAGTAGTTGGATTGGATTGGATGGGCACAAAAATTAATACAAATTCGAAAATGTGTTCAATATTGTTTCAATTAAAACAGTGTGTCCAATAGCCGACATCATATGAATGTTGCAGAACTTGCAGAATGACGATATTCTTCTCATCTCATAGTTTCAGAAATTACCGATCTATCCACAAATATATAATACCAAATACTGAGATTTACATATCCCTAACGAGTAAATATATGACACGTGTAAAAGATGTACTACATGATCATAATCGTAGTATTTTATAATTTCTCATATTGGGTCAAAAGGTAGTTAGAATTGGATGCAATGAAACGGAGGAAGAGAGCAAAAGAAAAAAAAATGAAGGGCCTAATTGGAACTCTGCAGGAATTTTGAGGGCTATAATTGGTTCTTTATTTGTTCAGTGAACACTGAAGAAGAAGAGACTTGTGAGTGAAGACAAGGAATAATTAAAGTAGATAATATGATCAACTTGTATATGATATTAGGGTGTCATAATCAAAAGGATTAAGGAGGAAGATCATATAGCACACCTGTTAAAAGGGTTTTGTTCATGACGTTGCTCCATTGCCATGTGTCTAATTAGCATCCTCCACAAGGCACCCACCTCAATCAATCTTTAAGAAATAAGCAAAAATTGAAAGAAAAAGTTGAGGCCTTATATTAAGCATTTTGCTATATATATAAAGATAAGCTGGCAGAAGATTTCTTCTTCCACACTGATTCTCCTTCTTTTGAACATTCCTTTCTTCAGTTGCTCAATTACTCTTTGATTCTTTTCTTCCCTCCCTTTTAAAAGAAGGGCTCACAGAAATCTTGGTGACAGTCAAAACACAAACACAGAGAAGTAAAAGAAAGAAGTAAGAAGAAGAAGATAACAATGGCGGATTGGGGGCCGGTGGTGATAGCAGTGGTGCTGTTCGTGCTGCTAAGTCCAGGGCTGTTGTTCCAGCTGCCTGGGAGGGGAAGAGTGGTGGAGTTCGGGAGCATGCATACCAGTGGGATTTCCATCCTCGTCCACACCATCATCTTCTTTGGCCTCCTCACCATCTTCCTCATCGCTATTGGCGTTCACATCTACACTGGATGAGACCATATGCCTATTTAGCTACCGATTTGGTTTTAGGATTTGCTTTCCCATTTTCATTTTTTTAATGCTTGTTTGACAGGATTTTACCACTGCTTTGACTTGTTCAGATTGTTTTGTTTGTTTTCAACACGGTGTGGAATTCTAGTTTTTTAGAAGATGAAGCAATGAAACAAATAAGGGTTAATCAATGGGATCATATTTTATGTTTATCAAAATAGAAATTGTGTTTTATAATTTATTGCTAGTTCGGAAATGTTTATGTAATAGAAAGCACTTTTGTTCATAAGCGTCGTCCGTATACATATTATGTATAGCGTGGAAAAACAAAACACTTGTTGGTACCAAAATTAGCACAACCTAATTTCTACCATCAATGGGCTGATTTTGTGGTTAGTCAATTAAAGCCCAATTATCAAAACCAGCAATAAAATGGCCAAAACTTAACAAATTCATGTCCAAAGGCCCAAAAGCCCATCGGACAGCGCTGGATGTTAAAGAAACATTGGCCAACGATTGTTCAACCAGAAAAGACTAGGAGTCATCGGATAAAGTATGTTCGATAAAGATTATAGAAATCAATTCATGTCTATAAAGCCAAATTAAATGGCTGTTAAAAACAAATAATGATTGAATACTCCAAATTAACAAGTTTATTTCTTTTCTTAAAATTCATAAATTTAACAGACAATGTTAATTTATGAATTAAAAGGAAAATCAAGGTTTCTACCAATACGTAGCGTTTCATAATTGATTCCGAAAAAGAAATTATTGGGTTAAATAAACAAAGATCAGAGGATTTGTTTATTTAAAGATTTTTAGCTAATCCCAGAAGACCGTTGCTTTTATTTGGTTAAAGGCGCGAACATCCAATTTTGAACTCAAAGTTGACCTCGACAACTAATGGAAAGTCAAACGACACAAGGAAGGCATGACAGCCGCATTAAATGTGATTTGAACCGTGAAGTTTGCCGCGCCAACTTGCTTAAATCAACTAAATCATGAGAACTAAGAAAAAAATCAAAGGTTTGCCAAACTCACTTGCAGGGAAAAAACCGATACTTAGTCTGAACACTCCTTTGCCAAGCATACAAAACCAAGGAACCAGAAAGGTTTTAAACAACCGAAAGAGATTTGATTCAAGGGACAACCAATCTCTCTCAAGAACAAACAACTTATTTGAACAAACTTCAAATACCCTCAACTCAAACAACTTGTCAAATGCGTCTCATAATAGACCAAATGCCAAGACTTGAATCAAATCCTCTCCTAATCTTGAGTTCCTAGTTGACAACTCCTCATTGGAATTCTCTTCTTTTCCCAAACACATACTTTATCTAATTTCCAGTTGACAACTCTTGATCGTAATTACGTTGCTATTGTTTGCCTTAATGCTCTACCAACATCAGTGCTTGGTATGATTTTATAAGTTAACTACTTGTTCTATCTCATCTAAGACCAAATTTGTATTTGCAAGCCTTTCTGAGCATTGCAGATAATGTGAACAACCTTCATCGGACTCATTGTACTGTCTCATATCTCAAATAGATTATCATGTGTCCGAGGAGTGCTGTCTCAACCTTCATTGGACTCATTGCAGAGACATAATATTATGTCTTTCGGATTTAAAATTTGAGGAGTGTTGTTTCTGTCTGATAAGGTTCCCTTAGGCTATGTTAGACTACTTATTGTGTTAATTAAGTATATTTAGGTCCACATGGATTTGTGTTTACTTTCTTGTAATAATATTATGTCTTTTAGATACTTTTATCTATGAACTTGTATTGTACTTTTTGTCCGATATCAATTTAAAGTTGTTATTTCTTCCAAGTTCCATTCCATAGCAAGTGAAATGTTGAAGTCCTCTTAATTGAAGCATTGAAAAGAACTTATCCAAGCTAGACTCCCCACTTGGAGCACAATGAATTTGGTTAGAGGTTAAGATCAACGAGCGCAACATAAGATCAATGAGTGCAACACCATCTTCATATTAGCTAATCATTCATCTTCTCTTCTTACTAGAAGAGTAAAACACTAGTAATGACACGCCTAATGCATATAGAGAAAACGTAATTAAAAAAAGGCACATTGCAAAAGATAATAGCAAGATATTTTATCTCCAAAGTGAGAGCACCGAGTGGTACGGAACCTTCGCGACTCTTCTTACTGGGAACTGCCTTGGCGGTGGTTTCCGGCCGCCGATCTATTGTTTCTAAGTGTGCGTCTCCCTGAATTTCAATTGCCCATGGAGGAAGGATCCTCTGGTGTCTTTCCCAAGCTTTCTCGTGTGACAAAGAGGGTTCGAGCTGCTGCGGATTGCGATTCTGAGTACGATGTGGAGTCGGGTTCCAATCCCATTTCGATGCAGGGGTTGATGCAAGCAACTAAGATGGATATGATGCCAGAGTCTAAGCATATTTCTAGGCCGACGGCTGATCTGGTGAATGAATCTAATGGTAATATGATGCCTAATTTCTTACCTGGTATTCATAGCTTTCGTGATAAATTGATGAATAAAGTTAATATGACCAAAAATGTGGGGATTGCTATTAACTGCTTGGATACTGATTATGAGGGTTTGAATGATGAGGATGATGTGTTCATTTCTCGTGGTGAGCGTGGGCCGAGTATACAGTTCTCTGATCGTGCTATGGCTTGATTTTGTTAACCTTGGAAAAATGCTTTGATCGTTAAGCTCCTTGGTCGCTCTCATACTTATAACTATCTTCATGATCGCTTAGCTCAGAAATGGAGTTTGGTGGGAGGGTGGAAGCTTATTGACTTGGTGAATGATTATTTTGTTGTGAGATTTGATTTGGAAGAGGACTTAAATTTTGTGTTGACTGGAGGGCCTTGGATGATTGCGGGGCAATACTTAACCATACAACAATGGCGGCCTGGTTTCTGCCCTTCTACTGCACACATCACAAGAATGGCTGCTTGGATTCGAGTATCTGCCATGCAGCTTGAATGTTTTGATGTTTGGTCTCTTAAGAGGATTGGCAACCTTCTTGGTAAATTGTTGAAAATTGATTCGTTGACTACTTCGCAAAATAGGGGTAAGTTTGCTCGTTTATGTGTGGAGTTGGATCTAACTAAACCCCTTGATGCCTTTGTGCAAATAAATCAGAACTGGTACAATATTGAGTATGAGGGATTACCTGATATTTGCTATCTATGTGGGTGTTATGGTCATAAAAGGGAGAGTTGTACTCTGAAATTTGTGAATTTGTCCGATGAGGCTGGGAAAGCTCAAGGTGCAGGAGTGGGACCTATGAATCATGACTCTGTTGGGGTTACAAAAACTGTGAAGATGGTTGAGGATAGCTTGCGAGGCCCTTGGATGAATGTGCAATCTAGAAGGCGACCAAAAACTATTCATAAGGATGTTCCTGGGCAGGGTTCTGGTGGAAGGAACAAAGGGTCTCGTTTTGATGCTCTTAATGAGATTGGTGAAGATTTTGACATAAGTGGGCCCGATAATGTTAACCAAGTTCCGACGAGGGGTGTCCCTATTTTTAAATCTGTGGAGGAAGTTGGTCAGAAAGTTTGGACTAAGTCTAAACATGCTAAATCGGGTTCTAGGCCTGTTCTGAATGATATCTCCAATAAGAATGTGCAGAAAGTCTTTAATAGTAAGGTAATGGATAAGAGTTCGGGCTCTTCTGATAAGTTTACAATGGGGGCTTCTCGACATTCTCGTAATCAGGTTGTTGGTGGTAGGAAGCCTTCTACTCTTAGTGCTGTCACTGAGCATTTGGAGAGTTGGGGTGATGGTCAACATATTCATCAAGAGAAAGGGGTTTATATTTTTGGGCATCAACCTCCAAATATAACAACACATTCGGAATTTCATGATGAGGATACTAATATTCATGAGGATGCTACGGAGTATGATGATGATAATGTTCTTGTGCCTAGAGGGATTGATTTGCTGGGGCAAGTTGCGAAGATGGATTTGGTTGAGGGCCAAACTAGCACTTCTGGTGGAAATTTGACTAGTACTACCTTCAACACGGTTGAAGGTATGGCTTTTGATGCTTAAGTAAAGGGTTTACCCTTAGTGATTGTTTATCTTTTAGCATATTTTTTATGAATATTATTAGTTGGAATGCTCGAGGTGCTGCGTGCACTAAGTTTAAGACTACTGTGATGAATTTGAGTCGTACTCATCATATGGATATTCTATTCATTTGTGAGCCTAGAATCAGTGGTGGGAAGGCTATTGATGTGGTTAAATCTTTGGGGTTTTCCAATTATGAAATTGTGGATGCTAATGGTTTTTCTGGTGGCTTGTGGTTATTATGGAATGCTAGTAAAGTCACAGTTGATATTGTTGGTACCTCAGCTCAATCTATTTCTGCTTGTGTTTGTTGGCCTGGTCAAACTCCCTGGATGTTTACTGCAGTGTATGCTCATCCTTGTATTGCTAAGCGACAGAAATTATGGGATTATCTTTCCTTTGTTGGAGCTAATCATAATATGCCTTGGTTAATTGCTGGAGACTTTAATGAGATGTTGAGGTTTGAAGATAAGTTAGGAGGAACTTCTTTATGCAGATTAAGAGGGTTTAAAACCTGGTTTGACAACCATGATATGGTCGATTTGGGTTTTTATGGATCCAAATACACTTGGACTAATAAAAAAGTTTTTGAAAGGCTGGACAGAGCTATTTGTAATTTGAGTTGGTGAAGGTTTTTTGCTGATGCAACTGTGAGACATCTCCCGAGGACCAAATCAGATCATAGTCCCATCAAAATCTGCTTGGCTTCTTGTTTTATTTCTTCTCCCCTTTCCAGACCTTTCAGGTTTCAAGCTATGTGGCTTCAACATGAGAATTTTCAGGATGTTTTTTTATGCTTCTTAGGGGTATGTTATTGGATCTGCTCTAGATAAGTCTTATGCTTTAATTGCTCCTTTGAAGCAATGAAATATTCAAGTGTTTGGTCATCTGAGACAAAGGAAGAATAGGTTGTTGGCTCGCTTTGATGGTATCCAAAAATCTTTGTGTATGGGTCCAAATCGTTTCCTTTGTAATTTGGAACCTGAGTTAGTTAAGGAGTTTAATGATGTTCTTGAACAAGAAGCTGTTTTTTGGAGGCAAAAATCCAGGGTTAATTGGTTGCAGAAGGGTGATAGAAATACAAAGTTTTTCCATCTTACAACTATTATTAGAAGGAGGAGAAATAAGATTGAAAGACTTAAGAATATTACTGGTGATTGGGTTGAGGAGGCAGTGGGAATTAAAGCTTTAGCTTTGACTTATTTTTCTGACCTGTTTTCTAATGATCATGTGGTGGACTCTGAGATTGGTTTTCCTAATTTGTTTCCTGGCATAGATGTGGCTGATTTGAGGCTTTTAAATAGACCAGTTGCTTTGGAGGAAGTTAAAGCTAGTCTGTTTAATATTGGAGGGCTAAAAGCCCTCGGGATAGATGGTTTTCCTGCTTGTTTTTATCAGAGCCAGTGGAATCATTATGGTGAAGATATCTGTCAGATGGTTTTTAAGGCTTTTCATGAGTGTACAATTCCTAAGAAGCTTAATATGACTCTTATTACTCTAGTGCCTAAGGTGGAAAGTCCTTTGTCAATGGTGCAGTTTCGCCCTATCAGCCTGTGTTCTACTTTGTATAAAGTGATTTCCAAGGTTATTGTTGCCAGGCTCAGAACTATCTTGCCCAATCTCATAACCCTAATCAGGTTAGTTTTGTCCATGGTAGGCATATTATTGATAATATTCTTATTGCTCAAGAATTGATGCATAAGTTTAAATTGTCTAAGGGTAAAAAAGGTTTCATGGCTTGGAAAATTGATCTTTCTAAGGCTTATGACCGCCTAAATTGGAATTTTATTGAGCATGTGCTTGTGGAGTTGGGTCTGCCTCTCAATCTAATTAAGTTGATCATGAGTTGTGTTTCTACTGTGAAGTATCAAATATGTATCAATGGAGAGCTCACTGAGTCTTTCCAGCCTAAGAGTGGTATTAGACAAGGGGACCCTTTGTCTCCATACTTGTTTGTGTTGTGTATTGAAAAGTTGTCCCATATTATTTTTGAGGATGTTCGAATGGGTAAATGGAGACCTGTTAAGTCCTCCCAAGCTGGCCCTGCTGTCTCTCACCTTTTTTTTGCTGATGACCTAGTTTTGTTTGCTGAAGCTACCTCTAATCAAGCTAGAGTTTTGAAGAATTGCTTGGAGGTTTTTTGTCAAGCCTCTGGTCAAACAGTAAATTTTGATAAATCTGCTATATTTTGTTCTCCTAACACCTGTAAGGAAATAGCTAAAGAAATCAGTTGTATTTGTGGCTCTCCTCTAACTGAAGATCTTGGAAGGTACCTGGGTATGCCTCTATTGCATTCTCGAATTGATAAAAGGACTTATAGTAGCTTAATTGACAAAGTGCATAAAAGACTTGCTGCCTGGAAGGGTAATTTCTTTCTCTAGCTGGTAGAGCTACCCTTATTCAATCTGTTACTTCGGCTGTGCCTGTTTATGCAATGCAAACTGCTAAACTGCCTACTAGTGCGTGTGATGCACTTGACAAATTAAATCAAAATTTTTTTTGGGGTGAGAGTGAGAAAAGGAGCAGGGTCCATCTTTGTCAATGGGATCTTGTTTATAGGCCTAAGAGTAAAGGGGGGTTTGGGTTTTAAAAAAACTGGTGCTATGAATCAAGCTTTGTTAGCCAAGATTGGTTGGAGGTTGCATATTAAGGATGAAGGCTTGTGGGCAAAGATTTATAAGGCTAAATACCTTAAAGGCCATTCTATTCTTGATGATTCTGTGATTTTTAGGCAGGATTGTTCTTCTACATGGAGAGGTGTGCTTCATGGTGTTGCTCTTTTAAGGAAGGGTATGTTATGGAGAATTGGGGATGGTGGTACTGTTAAGTTTTGGAAGGATAATTGGGTTTTTGATGCTCCTTTAAACCAAAATGATAGTGGTGTGCATATTTGTGACCCATATTCTGTTATTTCCAGTTTTTACAGAGATGGTTGGTGGGATATGGAGAAACTAAGGGCTGCTTTACCTGAAGAGCTGGTCCAAAGAGTTATTAGTTGTCTTGTGGGGTTTAATAATGGGATACAGGATGCTCAAATTTGGAAGTTTTCCTCCAATGGGATTTTCTCTGTAAAATCTGCTTATAATATGGTTTTTGAGGGCTCTACTTGCTCTGATGTTGCTTGGACGTTTTTGTGGAAGCTGAGGATTCCTCCCAAGTTGCATATTTTCTTTTGGCTTGTTTTTCAAGGAAAAATTCTTTCTAATGAGCAAAGAGTTAAAAGACAGCTATCTTTGGATGCTTCTTGTGGATCGTGTCATTGGCCTATGGAGTCTATACTCCATATTCTTCGTGATTGTGTTAAGGCTAAGAAGGTGTGGAATGCTCTTCTCAATTCTAGTTAAAGTGCTAGATTTTTTACTATGGACTTTCAACCTTGGCTTAGAGTAAATTTGATGTCGAAGATTGTTTGGGCTGATGGTATTCCTTGGAATTTGGTCTTTGTTTTCACATGTTGGTATATATGGAAATGGAGGAATCACTATGTGTTTCATGGTGATGAAGAGTTGGCTTTTGACTCCATACAAATTATTACTGCTGCTGTGAAGGAATGGTTTAAAACTTCTAATGTTTCTTTTACCAAGTGTGCTAAGGTTGAGGCTTGGTTTGCTTGGGAACCTCCTCCTGCTGGGGGTCTTTAAACTGAATGTTGATGGCTCTAGGAAAGTTGCTTCTGGCCATATTGGTGGGGGAGGTGTGTTGCGTGATGTTTCTGGTGATTGGTGTAGTGGGTTTGCTGTTAATTTGGGTAAAGGGCAGATTCTAGAGGCTGAATTATGGGGTCTGTTCTTTGGTCTGAGGATGGCTGTTGCGAAAGGGTTTAGGGAGAAAAACAGTGTTGCAGATCGTCTGGCTGTTTGGAGTTATAACTTAGATCTTGGTATCTGCGTTTTTGATGAGGCTCCAAGTTGGATTGGGACTTCTTTGGTGGATGATTTGTTAGGGGTGTCTAGGCCCGGTTGATTTGTGTTGGTTAGTTTGTTTTGTTTGTTTGGGGTTTCCACCCCGCCCCCTCATTTCAAAAAAAAAAAAAGAAAACGTCAGCATTGAGCCCAAACTAGCCTTTTTTAACCAACAAGCAACACATTGCAACTAAAATATAGCCTGCAAAAAATCTGGAGCATCGCAATGTTCTCCCAGAAGCCCACAAACACTTTTGGCACGTACAACAGTATTTGCCTCTTTCCCTCGTAGTTAAGCTCAATTGACCCAATGGCCAATGAGGTGTTCCAAACTATTATTGTAGGGTAAAGAAGCCAATCAAATATAATTCAGTCAGACATGCTTGATATATGTAGACAGAGACCGCTCCGAATATCTTTAAAACACCTAGCATAGTTTGATGTCATCTACTTAATATTTTTTGACAATTCCTAATTTTATCCTCCATTTGGTACTCCACTTCACTCAACTGACTTTTTCACATAGTTGAACATCGCTGCACGCTTTTGCTTTCCGCCTCCTAAACAATCAATTTTTCTTTAAGTTACATCATCATCTTGAATCATTTAGGATGGTATGCAAAGTGTTCATGCTGGTGTTTTACCTCTAATTCTAATGCCCCCTCCCCTAAAACGACATGACTTGTTTAGGGTTGTACTATTGCCTCTCTCTCTCTCTCTCTCTCTCTCTCTCTCTCTCTCTCTCATAAAAAACGACATTTGACCAAAATAATTGGTTATGGGGACGACGATTTCTAGAGAATCAATCCCATGCCTTTTCATCCCCACCTGGATGGGTTGCTTTGCTGGCCCTGAAAGTGAAGCCACCCATATCCATACGTTGAGATCAGGACACTCAACAATTCCCATCCCTACCCCAAAAGTCAATTACCAACCTATTCGTTGAAATTCAGACACACACACACAAAACAAAAAAAACCTAAAAACAAGACTTGTCTCCTAGTGTTTCTTTCGATAGGGGGAAAGGAAATGAACAATAACTGGGACATTCAAAAAGACTATGAGGATCCACAATAAACTCCAGAATCCATCTTTAAAAAAATATATATCATATGAAGATGGAGTATTTATGCTAAACTTAAAAAAGAAACAAATAATTTATGATTTACTAAACTATGGAGCAAGGTTGAAGTTCAAATTTTATAAGGAGCTCCTAAAATAGTTTTCTAGTGTTTTTAGCCAAATTTGTAACTACAAAAATAAGAAGCATGATTGTAGATGCTCTAAGAAAAAGCACAACATAAAAAATTGTGCTTTCTCATTAATAATTTTTTTCCATCTTATCATAAAAATTAGCTCCAATGAAAAATAAAATAAGAGTGTGACATAGACCTTACTCCATTTCTATCTTGCTTAAGAAAAGCACAAAATAATGTAACCAGCTGAGCCATATAACTTTTACAAATTTGAGAACAAGAGATATGATATGTACGGAACGACAGCTAAATAGAATTAAAAAAGGCTCAGCAAGCAACATCCCCTCCATCTCCTCAAAAGTAGGAATTCATTGGTTGGAAGTACTTTAACATCATCCTTCAACAATTCACTATTAGAAGCCACTTCCACATATTCAGTAGAACATTAATAAACATTTTATCTACTGTTCATGCATCAATACTTCAAGAAGCCCTCTCGATTAATTTCGGCCTTGCCCTATACATCGCTATACGCAGCACACCCCACACCAGGACATTTGTGCTGCTCCATCCTCCTCCAATGAACATTTCCACTCTCTTGAACCACCCTCCTCTTCTTCACAATAACTTCCATGCTGCAGCAATTGAAATTTATACAGATGGTTATTAAACAATCTTCCCAGCATGATTACTTTACATTTTAAATGAAATTTCCAACTAGAAGTACCAACCAAGACAGCAAACAATACTTCCTGTGCATAAGGAACGGAAGGACAGATACCCCAACTACACTATTAACCTTGTGGTATGGGAAAATGCATCTGATTGACTAAGAGAAAGATCAGGGATGATGGCCCAGAAACAAATATATGTCAAATATATGTCAAACATGCGACTATAGGCCTTACCCTCCCAGCATCTTTCCTGGATTGACTTGATCAGAGAATATATCCCCAACTAAATATCCGCCATATATCACTTTCAATACCTAAACATCACATCAACAAGCCAGAACTCTTAATGCTCAGCTAATTGGAGTTACTTTCAATCCAAGCAGAGTTCTAACTTAATCTAATCTAAGAATTTGTTCTCTAAATCCACTCAAATGTCAAACCAGCACTTTTGGCATATATCCTAGTAGCATATTCAACAGAAGTGTTTATCTTCCTGAGCAGCCTCACACAGTAAAACAAAACCTTCCAGTTTGTTTCTGTTCTAGGAACTTCAAGATTGTAGGACAATCCAAATTAACAGATCAGAAATATAAACGAAAAACTATTCCTAGTTACACACAAAGGAAAAGGAACCCCACATCATGATATACAATAAATTTGACAAATATTCAATCAAACATAAAACAAACATGCCCAACTCATTTTTCTTCACTTTCAAGAGGAAAAACAAAATTTTGAAGTTTTTCGACAATGATATTTTGCATATAAGATACATAATATGTGGAGGCAATCAAAGGCTGGAAATTTGACGCAATTGTGGAGGCAATCAAAGTGGAAATAAGGAAAAATAAAGAGGTGGCACGTTAAATGTGTGCAAATCATGGTACTTTGGCAAAGAAACAATTATAGAAAGTAATTGCAATTTCAAAATTCATTACATCGCAATTGCTTTATTTCTAATTTTGAGTCTGCTTCATGGCTACAACCCTACACAGATGAGAACTCCAAAGAATCCATCCAAAACCTCCCCTATTACTGACTATTAGAAGCATCAAGAATACATGAAGAAAAGAAAGAAAACAAAATTGCTTCATCCTTACTTTTCCTTTGATAAAATATCATAACAATACACAATTCCAATGAAGAAGGGCAGATCCAAGGGCAAGGCCGAATACTAAAGTTTTATTTGGTGAGCCATGCAACACATGGATCGGTGCTCTGAAAAATGTAAGGCTAAAGTAGTAGTTGGTGTTACTTCCCTCTCAGATACATGATGGCAAATATAATTGTTTAGTTCTTCTCAATCACGAGCTATTCTAAATAAATGTTAACTGATTTGATTATAATTCCAAATATTACCACTTTCTGTTCTGACTAAAAAATTTAATCTTTAGATTAAAAGCGATAGTAATCTTAAATACATGTTTTCCTGGTTCTTTTCAAGAAGCAAATGGAAACAAATGATATAATAAATAAGAAAAACAGAAAAACCATTTAATACCAAGATTCCAGACAGCAAAGAAAATCCATAAACCATGGAAAACAAACATTAATTACTATCAATAAACAGATAATTAAAAGCAAAAGCTATAATCTCTACCAGGCATCTCCTTTCGCGGTGATGACGGAGCCGACGCGTAACAAAGAATCGACTTTCCCAAAACAGAGAGGCTGGAGACGATTCCAGCCACGTAGAAGACCATAACCAATCCGAGAACCCAAGGCATCAATATGAAACCAATGAAGAAAGTCACCGATCCACAGAGCATCAGAGCCATCGAAATCCCCAGCATCAGCGAGGCGAACCCCGCCGGCGAAATCTGCGTCGCCGCGGGCGGCGGCCGCCTCGACGAAGACGGAGATGAGGGCACCACCGGTGAGTGATCGGAGAACTGAATCGGCGTGGGAGGAGATCGGAGGAGGGTTGAGAACCAGAGCCGATAGCTCGTAGAAAACCCTCGATTGCTGGTCTTGCTGGTCTTGCCTTCGCATCATCTTTTTCTGCCCGAGAAAATTAGGGTATTGAGGTCAACAATGTTTAAAACCTAAAATTCTTTGAGAGAAAATCGAAATTCCTGAATTTTGCTAGAAACGAGGCAAATGGATAAAAGAAATGGGAGAAGTTTATCTACAGCGTTAGTCTGATTGGATTGGGCTCTTTTCTTCTTGACCTTCGTAATAATACAGGTGGTGAGTTTTGAGAGGCCGAGGTTTGTTTGTTTGTTTCTTATCAAGATCTCTGAGAGCCCATTTCTCTTCTTTTCTTTTCTCTCTCTCGGAATCTTCTGTTTGGTTCGTAGGAAAAGGAAAAACGAACAACGGGAAAAAGAAAAGTCGGCTATAAATGGAAAGCTCTTTGCGCGGTTTATCCGGAAATAAAATATACACAAACAAAAAGGAGATCAAAAGGAAGATTGGATAGGAAGACGCGTAAGCTGTCGCATGTGGCACACGCGATGTGGATTGGAGTGGAAGTGCAGTCAGTGATGAGTGGGCGGGAACCAGATGGACGTGGGACCTTATCTTCTCCCACAAACACCCGCCTCCAATATATTATTCTTTTTGGCAAATAAAAAAAACAAATATTATTCTCTTTGTTTTGGTCAAGAATATTATTTTTTTTTTTATAAAGAAAATTTATACTCTGGGGCAAAAGTAAAATACTTTTTATAATTAATTTACAGGAAAACCCTAAAAATCGATATAATTTGTGAAAATGCGTAAGGTCCGTCAAATTGTTTTTAGCTGGATGATGCTTAATTAGGAGAAAGTTATAATTACATACTAATTAATATATAAATAGTCTTGTAAAATTGCGACAACAAATAATCTGTTTTTATGAGGTGAGAGTTTTGATGAAATTATCGAGAAATTAATTTGTGTGTACTCATTATTAGGGAAGCTAATGAAATTAGGATTATGAGGTAATTCACCATAATTTGAGAAATCTTTTAATCAAAACGTGTTAGATTTGGTTGAATGCAAGGTGGTTGGGGACAGATATGATTGAGTTGATCAGATACGTGGCATTGCAGGGCTTGCAAATACTGAATATTTAACAATTGATGGTCGCCGATGATGCCTTGTCGTGATTCATTATTTTAGCTTATCCCAAGAGAAGCTAGCATAGTGGAGAATCTAACAAATAATTAGATTTGTCATGTCCGAATAGGTTAAAAAAATTTAAAACACTTTTCTTGAATATCTTCTGACGGGAAGATTGGTTATCCAATGGAGAAGGAAAAATGAGTGTATGGAATTGAAAACGTACACAGAGTAGGCCCGTTCGGTATCATTTTCAAGGGCCATTTTCTGTTTTTGTTTTCTGTTTTCATGTGAAAACGTGTTCGGTGGGGTTGTTTTGAGAAACAAGCTGAAATTGTTTTCTGGGAATGAAAATGAAAGTACGAGTAAATGTTGAAAACGCCAGAAGTCGTTTTTGTTTTCGGCGTTTTTGTTTTCAGTCTCTCCGAATCAAAGCCAACTCTCCTCCGTCACTTGAGCAAACAATCCAATCAAATGTATCCAAAACAATCAAATCTCCTCCTTCCAACCATAATCAGCCCCAAAATTTCTAGAAAAAAAACTCATAATCACACAAATCTGCAACTAAGAAAAAAAGACAGAGAGGAAGAAGAAAAGAAAAAAAGGGAGAAGAAGAAGAGAAAGAATCAGAAAGAGGGAGAAGAAGGGAAAGGAAAAAAGAGAGAGAGAGAGAGAGAGTTGCAGAGGGAGAGATGATAGAACCAGCCACCACATACCCACTCAACCACCATCACCACCCAATCTAACCATCACAACCATTAATTAGTGGAACCGAGAGAGGGTTGATGGGATTCGTGTAATGGAAGGAAGGAGGAGTGAGAGTGAAAAAGAGAAGGAAGAAGAAGAGAGAAAGTAGAGAAGGAAGAAGGAAACAAAAGGAACGGGTCTGGAAGGAAGAGGAAGAAAAGAGGAGAAGAAAGAAAGAAAAAAAGGAGAAAAGGAGAAAAGAAAAAGAAAAAGATAGTTTTATCTTTTAAAAACAATAGAATTTTTCATTTGTTAAATTATACATTTTAAAAATATTTTTTCAAAACAGAAATTAGCAAAATACCCTTGAAAAATAATTCACATAATATTATTCTCAATTTGTACTACCAACATATTTTCATTGTTTATAATAATTTTAGCCTCTAAAAATATAAGAATTTTAAAAAAGTAGAACTAAAATTAGCAAAATACACATGAAAAACAATTGTACTACCAGACACGTTTTTATTGTTTTTGGTTTCTAAAGATGTTTTCTAATTATCTACCAGACGCATTTTCATTTCCTAAAAATGCAAATTTGTTTTCTTGTTTTCATTCTCTGAAAATATTCTCAGAAAACATTCTCCGAAACGTTACCAGACGGGCCCTAATAATTTAGATTAGATGACAGAGTAAAAGATTTCTCGTTTTTAGGATACATCGTCATATTCACTTATGTCATAGGATTGAGTTATACCATATGATCGTATTTTCGGTAATTACTTATAGTATGATGTTAATTTTGACATCTAATTATGATTTCTATTCATAGCGAATCTATAAATGGGTAAGGAGGTGCGCTTCACTTTCCCTCACCGGAGAAAGCGTTGCAAGCAAAGCCAGGGACGGGCTATAGCCTAAGTGACTTTTCTGTCTTTCAACTCAAAATTACATTTAGCCCACTTCTGCTTGTTAGGAGGTTTAACTTGCAAATCTTTGCAAAGGCAAAAGTGTAAACATAATAATTTTTTACCCAATCGTTTGAAATTAATGTTAGCTGGTATTGGAAACATCTTTTCTTTTTGAAAACATTGGAAACTTTACCTTGGACTAATTATGTTCTGCATCAATTATGAGTTGATAACACATGATCAACTATTTTTAGATTTTTTGGAAAAACATTCATATCACTAGCTTTCCTTTTTCTTCATACTACCTAAAAGAATTCTTCCATTACATTTGTCATCGAGTTCCTATGAAAAACCAGTCAAAGGCTTTTATTGTCATGAAATAGAGAAAACTATTATAATAATTTTGGTGTCTTACTTGTATGAATAAGAATTTGATTAGTGAGATTTATGAATTAATTAGTGCGTGACATGTTGTCTTGTATATATTATTTAATAGGTTATATTTTTATAATGTCAGGTACACATAAAAAACCTAAGAGATCAAAGATCTTTGAATTCTTTTATTCTCAACGAAATTCACTCGTATAACCATTTTTCTATCTTCTTAGTAGGGTTTGTACATATCAAGTAATAAGCCCCTCCATTTTGGAATCCTAGATCCGGCCCCTAGCCAATGCGGACCTATAAGGCCAAGAGTGCAACTCACTCTCCTTGTCAGCAGGCGTTCAGGTGCAGAGAATTGAACATTCCACACTAACCAATGAGAGGGGTGAGGTGCCTTAATATTACTCCCCACCTTCATTTGCACAGGTCCTTTTGGAACTCACTAGCTTTTGGAGTCATAGGACCTCCCGAAGTTAAGTAGCGCGGTTTGGGCTAGGTCAAATTCCAGATGGTTGACCTCTCCTGGAAATTGCTCGTGAGTTTCTAGAAACAAAATCCTGAGGGCAAGGGGGCCCACAGCGACAATATCATGCTACGGCAGAGCCGTATGAGATGTGACGGAATGTTGCCCCTGTCGCCATCCAGGCGCCAACGCCACTTTTTCACAAAAGCCTC